GCACAAGGCGGTGGCGGAAGGAAACCTATAGGAGAGGTTGGTTGTTGTGAATCAGGGATGGCAGAGCGAAGCCACTGATGGACCGAAAGGTGCTTGAGGTTTCCTCTCTTTCTCTCTCTTTCTCTGACTATCTACCTACCTCCCTACCTCCCTACCTCCCTACCTCCCTACCTCCCTACCTATCTATCTATCTATTTATCTATCTATCTATCTAACGATCTAACGATCTATCTCTCTCTCTCTCTCTTTCATCTAATTACCTATCTATCTATCTATCTATCTACCTATCTATCTATCTATCGATCTATCTCTCTCATATATGTTAGCTAGATCCCATTCAATCATTTTTAATCACCATTATATACATCCCATTGTATCATTTTGTATCCCATCAATCCGCAATAAACGAGGTAATATAGCCAGCTACGTCATTCCCATGATCGTGTTTGTCATGGTTACATTCAAGACTCTCTCAATTCATGGTTGATAGATTGGTTTCAACACGTTACGAAACACGTCTCAATGTCACATAGCGGCGCACCCGCCACGCAAAAACATTACAACTTCACTCGACATCGGCGGCGGCATTTTTCCTGTAAATTCCCGTATAAAGTGGCTCTTGCCAGACCATGGTAAAGATACTCCTTGGCCACAGGGACTGGGAGAGTCAACAATGGCATGCTGCAGAAACACGGCCACACTTGCTGAAGTATCCAAGGATGGCTGCCGTCGTCATAGCATTCGTTTGAAGCCTCCAGGCCACACGTGACAAACGACAAAAAGCGCCGTGCGAACAGAGAAATGCGTCTATCTATCTATCTATCTATCTATCTATGTATCTATCTATCTATCTATCTATCTATCCATCTAATCTATCTACCTATCTACCTATCTACCTACCTATCCATCTATCCATCTATCCATCTATCCATCTATCCATCTATCCATCTATCCATCTATCCATCTATCCATCTATCTATCTATCTATCTATCTATGTATCTATGTATCTATTGATCTATCTCTCTCTCTCTCTCTTTCATCTAATTACCTATCTATCTATCTTTCTTTCTATCTATCTATCTCTCTATCTGCCTGTCTATCTGTCTACCTGTCTACCTGTGGTGCAGTGTCATTCAGTGTAGTGTATTGTAGTGTAGTGGAGTCTAGTGTAGTGTAGTGTAGCGTAGTGTAAATGTAGTATTGTAGTTGTAGTTGTAGTTGTAGTTAGTGTAGTGTAGTGCAGTGTAGTGGAGTGTAGTGTAGTGTAGTGTAGTGTAGTTGAATGTAGTGTAGTGCAATGTAGTGTAGTGGAGTGTAGTGTGGTGTAATGTAGCGTAGTGTAGTGTAATTTAGTGTAGCGGAGTGTAATTTAGTGTAGCGGAGTGTAGTGGAGTAGTTGTAGTTGTAGTTGTAGTGGAGTGGATTGGAGTGTAGTGTAGTGTAATGTAGTGTAGTGGAGTGTAGTGTAGTGGAGTGTAGTGTAGTGTAATGTAGTATAGTGGAAGGTAGTGTAGTGTAGTGTAATGTAGTGTAGCGGAGTGTAGCGTAGTGTAATGTAGTGTAGTGTCGAAAATCTTTTTGCGTGGCAGGCGCAATACTTTTGCGAAGATGAGTTGCAGTTTCGTGGCAGTTGCAGCACTTTGGACGCGTCCATCGCCATTTGGCGTGGCAGGCGCAGCACTTCAGACATGTAGCATTGCGTGCTCTACACTCTACACTCTACACTCCACACTTTACACTCCACACTTTACACTCTACACTCTACACTTTACACTCTACACTCCACACTCCACACTTTACACTTTACACTTTGCACTCCACACACTACACTTTACACTCTACACTCTAGACTCTACACTTTACACTCTACACTCCACACTCCACACTTTACACTTTACAATTTACACTCCACACTCCACACTTTACATTTTACACTCTACACTCTACACTTTACACTCCACACTTTACACTTTACACTCTACACTCTACACTCCACACTCTACACACCACACTCCCCACTTCACACTTTACACTCCACACTCCACACTCAACACTTTACACTTTACACTTTACACTCCACACTCCACACTTTACACTTTTCACTCCACACTTTACACTTTACACTCCACACTTTACACTTTACACTCTACACTCTACACTCCACACTCTACACACGACACTCTCCATTTTACACTTCACACTCCACACTTTACACTCCACACTTTACACTCCACACTACACTTTACACTCAACACTCCACACTTTGCATTCCACCGTGTTTCGCATTCCACAGCCTACAGTGCACTGGTACGGTAACAGCGGAAACAAAAGTGTTCTACGTGACTGCATTCGGGTTCGTGGGCTGCATCTTGTTGGGTGGATTAGATCTGGTTAACATCGGCACTATATGGGAAATATATGGGAAAGACATGGGTAAAGAGATGATTATATCAGGATAATTTTTGGTTGTTTTTTGGAAAAAACATCTATGAAGAGATATAAAGCTTTGGGTATGGTTTATAGATGCCCCAGGTGATGAAACATACCCAGGTGAGGCTGACTAAGTTCTGGGATCAAGCCAGGATCAGGATCTAAGCAAAAAAACTGGGGAGATCCAGAACAAATATTGATCATTCAGGATGTTTTCTGGGGATCATTCAGGATCTATGATCGAAAATGGATTTACCCAGAAAATATTGAGATTAATCAACTTCGTGATGGTTAGGATGTGTGGAATGTGAGTACCAACACGAGCGAGCACAGCAAAGAAAGATGGGAAAATATTAATGAACAAAAAACCAATGTAGCGCCTAGTTCCTGTTGATATTAGCTGATAATATACAAAAACTGAGACTGCAGCCGCACAATATGCGACACCAGCATTGAGTATACAGTCAATGATTTTCTTGATTTTCCCCACATGTTTCCCACATTTTCCAGTGGATTTCCCCCAACTTCACCCCCCAACCCCCAACTTCCAGGCTCTCCTGCGCCTTCAGCCTTTGCTCGTCGCCCTACGGCGGCTCCGCCGCCGTGGAGGCGCTCTGCGTGGCGGTGTCCAACCTGAGCAGTGCACTGGCGACCTCGAGGGCGGAGCAGTGCTATCAGCGGCTCAAGGAGAACCTTGAGATTTAGATGATGGGATGATGGGATTTACCTGGGATTATGGTGATGACAATTTCCAATTAGTGAGTATATTTATAGTGGGATTTTCAATTGCAATGTTTGAGTACTGTTGATTTTCGGAATGAATTCTAGGGAAAACTACGTTTTTTTTGGAAAGTATACGAAACTATATTTTTATCAGTGTTGATCCTGTCAACAACCGACTCGGAGAATTAATGTGATTACAATTGTAGAGCCCAGAACCATGAAATTTAGCTGATGGGATGATGGGATTTACCTGGGATTGCTGTGTTTGTTTTTTTCGCCTTTATGGTTAGTAAGTATATAGTGGAATTTTCAACTGCCATGTTTTATTAGTGTTGATTGGGGATTGAATTCTAGTGGAAATTAGTAAAAACCACGTGGGAAATCCGAGCGAATTGGAAAGTATATCTGTTTTTTGGTAAACACTCAAATAATTTTCGAAATTTAACATTGAACCCCACTTAAAAACAATATTCAATACCAAAATCAGCAAGCCCATTTTGAGGTTTCATATTAAGTATAGGGTGTGTAGAACCATTTTTAAGCCGTAGAAACTGGGTTTTTGTTCAGGAAGTTCAAGTCATATGAATACCATCAAAAATGAGGAGATACAATTGATCAATTATTAGAAGTTGAAACCCAACCAGCCTATACCCTATACGCTCTTGGATTAAACTACTTAATCCATCCCCATCCATCCCCACTATTTGTTGAATTGCCATGGTAAAATCCCATGGGAATTCAGTTGATTTACCATCGGTTTACCATGGATTTTCCAAAACCAGGAGCTGATCTTGGGCAACAGCCGGCTGACTGAGACCTCCCGTGAGAGACTAGCCAAGTCCGCCTTGGGACCTTTGTTGCTTCAGCAGAAGGGATGTGTCTCGTATATATATATATATATAGTTTAAAAGAAGACATGGAGGAGCTTAGGTGCTGATGGATTGAAATTACTGGAACTTGGATTTTCTTAGATGAATTTTAATGGTTTGATTAGATACATGTATGACAACAACTTGTGTTGATAAATTGTGTTGATAAATTGTGCAATTCCGCCGTTTGTTAGTTAGATTCCTCTTTTTCTTCCTGGACATTCCAAATCCTAGGAAATTCGCGGGATTCTAGGAAGTGACCCCCTTTTTTTGCGCAACACCATGTCAAATTGATCAAAACTCCTTATTTGACTCAATTTCCTTGAAATTCATCCAAAACCACTGAGTTGTGGATGTCGCAAGCTACAAGGTTTCTGCATGACATGTGGTTTTATTTTCAGTTTTTGACGTTCAAAAACGTCAAGAATTACCCGCAAAACTCCCGCAAAAAAGTGTAACACTCCAGCAAAAAACCTCAAACTCCCGCAAATCCCGAAAAGACATACAATCAATTTTCCAGAACCCACCTGATCACATCATTGACTGCAAACCGTATGACAAATGCAAGGTCACTGAGAAATACGTTGCAACTCCTGGAATTCTGAACTTTATTAGAAAGCAAGAACTGCTAGATGTTTTTTTTTTTTTTTTTCGGAAAAGGATGTTCCAGGTTGCTTGAATTTGCATTGTGAAACGCTTGCTCATCAAGTGGGCATCATCGCCAATTAAAATAGAAACATTCATACTCACAAAAAACATTGGTTAGTTGTTTCAATCAGTGTTTATGTTCAGCCATACATGTGTATATATATATATACATATCATATATTCTATATGTTGTGTTCACGTGACTCAGCCAGCAATCAGAAAGCTTCCACCAAACAAAGAAAACCATGGGATGCATTTCTATAATGTAGTTGGTACAATGCTAAAAAGTCCCCTTAAGTTTACCATCAATGGGTGGTAATCAATATAAATCAATCATAATCAAAATTCTGGGTTGATTATTATCTGGTTGGTGGTTTGGAGTTGTTTTTGGTTTTCCATATATTGGGAATTTCATCATCCCAACTGACTTTCACTCCATCATTTTTCAGAGGGGTAGGTTGAAACCACCAACCAGTTAACCACAATCATCAGTTTTCAGAGGGGTTAATAACCATCATTAACCATAATCATCATTGGGGAAAACCATATATAACCATATATAACCCACCATTACTGGCATTGTTTTACCTGATTGAACCAGCTAACTTCGCGTTACCGTTGCTCCCCTTCCGAGGTTATCCCAGTTGGAAGAGTCCGTGCAGCTGAAGGCCCTGGATGCCATGCTGGAGCCCCTGCGTGCCATGGGTGGAAATCATGGGGTTCATGAGTCCTTCCAGCCAATATGTTCTAAATGTTCCTGGAAATCCGGGTGCAACTATGGATATCTATGGATCTATGTAAGTAAGTGATATGTCCATCATTTCTTGGTCATTTTGGTCCATTTTTGGAGCTATTCAATATCAGGATACATCAGGAGAGTAATAAAATGTACTAAACCTGCTCCCGATGCTTGTTCGTATTGGATTCATGGGTACATGTTTTGACAAAGAAAAACATATGGGTTAAAACAACAAATCTGCTGTAGGTGAACGTTGATCCCCCCCGATGCTGATGGTTCCTGGTCGATGTCGACGCCCTAACTTCGGAACAATCCAACCATGTTTTTTTGTGGTTGAAAAGCCACCAAGCAGGGAATCTAGCGACTTGATTCCGTCATCCCCCCGTACTTGTGATACTGAACTTCTAGTCCCCCTTTTTGCTTCTCCCCATGTTTGTTGTTTATCTCCCCATATTCCATCTATTTTGAATTTTGCACCAGAAGTACAACCGTTGTCAAACAAGTACCACAATTGTCTTCAAAGTTAAAGCCATCGAAGACTACTTAGATGGGCCATGGAGTTAGTTAAATAGTTAGTAAATGGATTATAATTGGGATATACGGGGTTATATCCCCAGTTACTAACCATTTAGCTAATCCCATGGCCCATCTAAGTACCACAATTGTCTTCAAAGTTAAAGCCATATGATCCAAATCCCATCTGTTCTTGTTTTCTTACCTGCTTGTGGCTTCTCTCCCGAGAGTGGTGCCCAGGTATAAGTTGGTACTTAGATGGGCCATGGGATTAGCGATTCATGGTTAGTAACTGGGGATTTGTTACCCCCAAAAAAATCCCAATGAAATAATCCATTTACTAACTAGTTTTCCCTAACTCCATGGCCCATCTAAGTAATAGTTATTGGAGTTTTCGCAACCACCCCATTGCGCCATTTTCCATTACTCCCACAATGTGAGGCCCCCCAGTTATAAGTTGGTTTAGATTCGCCCCAGTAACTATACTTATAAGTACCATAAACCACAGTTATTGGAGTTATATAAGTACCATGAACCACAGTTATTGGAGTTATGTGCACCAACTTAGATATCCAACGGGGGCCTCACATTGCAGGTACCATGGCTCCCCCGCAGTTCGACGCCAGCAGCTTGCCGCAGCGCGTGGTGCATTGGCGCCTGCTCTTCGCCGTTTTAGCCTCCGTGGAGCCGCAACGCAGCGAGCTGCGACTGGGAGAAAGCAAGACCCAGTGGGATCCATGCTGAGAGCTATGGAGTGGTCATATTGATGTATATCTATGTGTATCTATATATATAATCTACAATTTATAATGTTTGGGAATATTAATAATATATTAGTAATATATATATATATATATATGGGAATATTAATAATATATTAGTAATATATATATGTATACATATATATATATATACATATTTCATATACTTATGTATCGGAATGGGAATACAGTATAGAGAACCCCTGCTCCCTCTATATTACAGCGACAGACAACCACTTAGAACGTCATTTGGAAAAAACAAATGTGCAGCTAGAGACGTTCTAAGTGATTCAGTTGGAATCACGTTCTAAGTGATAGTCCGTGACCATAATGCAATGGTAATGGGAATGTAGTGGGCATAGGAATTGGAATAGTAGCAAAAGTGTCAGAGAAATGGTACAAGGTGGAGCGTCCCCACTTATCACTTGTTGGATTTTAAAAAGCCCGGTATGATATCCTCCAATATCCTCCATCAACCCAAACGTTAACCAAGTTTTTAAGTCAACTTAGCTATCAGGTTATTTTTTTTCGGCCCACACATATCAGGAACATGAGATTTTACCAAGGAAAATGGAGATATCATGAGGATTAAATTCCATACCTCTCAAATTTTTCACAACTCACACAACCATTCCATGGTCCTCAATGTGTGCACATCCCGCACGAAACCATGCTTTCTGGGCGCTCTTTAACATTGGGCTGAAGGAATTGCTGATGTTTATAGCATCATTTTCTCCATTAAAAATGATAGGAATATCATATAGCGATGTCATTGGGTGACAACAGGGATATATTGTATATCAATGGACAAAATTGGATATAAGGGGATATGACGCACAATAACTACCCAAGATCTTACCCAGTGGATTGCATCTGCAAGGTGGTCCAGCTGGTTTCATAAGGCTTTGATGGGCCATTCAGTTGGTTCACTATGTTAGCATGTGATCGTAGGTTGGCTTCGACCCACGACTTTGTCATTTCATGTTGAACTGTGTAGGCTACGTTCCCTTTGGATAACTGCAGCTTTGGTCCTTAGAGTAGATCTGCGTCCGGATGTCTTGATGTTTGTGATGACTTGTTGGGGCTCAGAAGCGCTGACGGTTGGGCTCCATGCTTCACAGTTTAAGCTCAAACAGTTTGGCAACATGTTGGTAATTTCTGGTAATTTCTCATAATTTCTCCCAGTTTATGGTTGGATCTGGATGTCTTTCTGATAACTTGATGTGAAATGTCTGGAGTTCGGGAGCTCGTCACGACCCCTGGCCATGTGGCCCTAGGTCCTTGTCGTGGCTTGGAAGCCACTGGCCGTGGTTCGAGGTGGCGGTGAAGTCATCAGATGTGGCCTGCGAAGCGGTCACTGGGCAAGTGACCAACCCCGTGGGGGATCATCCCTGGTGATTTTTCATGGTGGTTTAATGGTGATCTAATGGGATTTACCTGGTAATGACTAACATAGCTATGGTATAGATGGCCCAGTCGAAATAGTTGATGACTACCCATGAATAGAAAATGGTGGATCTTTCCAGTTCGTTTTGTTAGTTCGTTTACCAGAGGGTAGTCTTTATAGAAAACAAACTAGTTGGGACAGTTCCTCAGCCCCACGCCATCCACAAGGCCACCACCTTCTTGGAGACAGTCCTGACCCGCGCACGTAGCAAGGCGGCAGCCCAGGAGGTCTTGCAACGGGCCATGCCCGTCCTGGTTGAGGTGGTGTGTCCCTTGGCGCGACGTCTGCTGGGTGGATCAAATGCCGCTTCCAGGGAGAATTTACGGGTGAAACATGGTGAAACTCCATGGACCCCCCCCCCCCAATGTTTGTCATTTTTCATAGGAACAACGATGGTTTCCTGTAGATTTTCCGTTGAAACCAATCTATCAACCATGAATTGAGAGAGTCTTGAATGTAATCATGACAAGCACGATCATGGGAATGACGTAGCTGGCTATATTACCTCGTTTATTATTGCGGATTGATGGGATACAAAATGATACAATGGGATGTATATTATATAATGGTGATTAAATATGATTGAATGGGATCTAGCTAACATATATGACTGTATAGTTGGTATTTAATATGGTATTTGTGAGGTGGTTATGAATAGCCAATGAAATGGGGCCGGAAAACTCTAACTATTCTAGGATATTATTAATCATGCACTCACCTTACTGGGATGATGGTGGAGTCGGTCACAGGAAGGTATCTCGGATGAGTTCAATCTATTTATTGAATAGCGGCTTTCGAATCTCGATGGGCAACCTATAGTTACTCATTCCCAGATGGCTGGTGCCCAGTGGTCCTTTTTGATATTGCCACCATCCTATTTTTTGGCACCAAATCGCTTGAAGTGCACCATGGCCAACCAAATCCCAAGTTCGGGTGATTGCAGTTTTGAATGCTACTTAGATGGGCCATGGGATTAGCTAAATGGTTAGTAACTGGGGATAGAACCCCCTATATCCCAATTATAATCCATTTACTAACTAGTTAACTAACTCCATGGCCCATCTAAGTACTGTTCTCTCACCATTTTTCTTGGGTGGGCCTGTTGGCGCAGCCCCCCTTCACCCTTTCCTCCGTGAAACCCCGTGTGCCCTTTAGGTCACCGGGGCAGCGTGCCAGCCCTGACGGCCCTGAGCGCCCTGACGCGCATCTTCAAAGGCGGCGACGCCCAAACGGCGCCACTGCTGGCAGGGCAGGTGGTGCAGATTGCGGAGCGCTTGCTCAGCAAGCTGAGCCAAACGCAGGAGATTTGCCGAGTTGCTGAAGGATGGATTATTGGGCATGGGAAAAATCGGGGAAGTCGCGTAGCCTTGATGAGTTTAAAGGGGCTAAGCATTAAAAGAAACACACACACACACAGCTCATCTTGGATTTGCTTGGGAGGTTTATCCGCTAGTGTCATCAAACATGGCTGGCAATGGGAAATACCCAAACTAAATGGAGCAAAAAATAGGAACATCATTGAACATTAAGGGTGGATCTTGTAAGGCCAGTTACCAGTTGAATAGTTCCCTGGCTGAAGATTTGTTTTTCTAAAATGTCCCCAATGGAAAATCCACTGCTTGGAATCTACACGGATTTTTGTTGTATCTTTTTGCTGTTCCTTAAGCAAATCCAAGTTTTTTGGCCAGTTTTTGGGGAAGCTTGTTATACGTAAGGCCAGTGAAATGGAGATGCAGTGAGATATAACCAAGACATGAGCCGGAGTATAGTGGCTATGGAATGGGACTGGAGAGAGTTAAAATTTATGTTCTGATGACTGGCGACTTTTCCTTTGTAAGTTCAGTTGCTTTGGGGGATTTACAATGATTTATGAGGATTCTGATGGGTGTAAATCTCAAATGACTCGTTGATTTCTCCCAAGATATCAAGATGTTGGTGAACCGCGTAGTTTATATGTAGTTTTTGAAGCAAACCCAAACACAAATTCCAGCGTCATCAGAAAACACGAATTACTTGTTGGCCTATATTTTTGCTCACTTAAAGATCCCAACAAAATCATCAACATAAATCCACAAGAAGTTTCAGGAGCTCAACTGTTCTCAAGAATTCTCAACCCAACACTTATTAACGGTTTAAAATCCCAAATCCCATGAATTCTGAACAATTTCCAAGGATACCCTCTGGTAAACGTTTACATAACTATGGAAAATCACCATGCTATTCATGGGTAAATCCACTATTTCTATGGCCATTTTCAATAGCTTTTTGTATGTTTACCAGAGGGTAACAGTTGACAAAAACCCGAAAAATGCAAGTTGAAGTCCCATCCTCAGAATCCCCAGACGAGTCAAGCCTGGAGATTGCCGGTGAGTGCGATGATCCCATCCATTGCACAAGTCCTATAACTGAGACTGTCATTATAACATCATGGCCCTTAACAGTTATGGGATTATAACGTATGAAAAAACATATTATAACTCCTATGATTGAAGTATATTGAGGTTATATATCGATATATCATTATAAATGATAAATCATTATATATATATAATATGTATATATAAATCCCATATTTTTTTTTGCGGCCATGGCCATCTTCAGGACCTTCCCCCGGACCTCTTCGCCGCGCTGCTGGAGCTCTTCGTCGTGGCGCTGGCGCCGCGCTCTGCGCAGCTGGCGCCGCGGCTGCTGCAGCCGCCGGCGGCGGCGCTGCGGGCGGCGCTGAACGGCGCGGCGGCGCTGCTGACGCAGGCGGTGAACCCGAGGCTCACGTGTTGGGCGCCGTGGCAACGGAGGGAGAAGGGGGCCATGGGGGCGCCAGGGGCTTTTGTGACTTTTCTAAAGCGTTTGTGGCTTTTGTGACTGTGATTCTTGTTTTCTCGGCTTCTTGGCTTCTTTTTTTATTGGCGTTTTCTGTTTTTGGTTTCTTGTTCTTTTGGCTGTTGTGGTTTCTTGGCAGTATGCTGCAACTATCGTGTAGACAGCGAGTAAAATATCAATATGAAATTATAGAGAGAATAAAAGGACAATTATAATTGTTTATAAGACGGCAAAATCCAATCATAGAATTTATAGGAGCACTTTGATACCACCCAATGAAACTATCTACACTCAACACGGTTGTGCCTCAACCTACGTTCTATATGTTCACAAAGGTGCATGTTGTGCATTGGATACACCTCCGCATACAATATTGAACCTACAGCATTACATTACATGTGAGAATTTTAGCATGTCATTCTTCCCCTTCCAAAAATTGATGAAAACCATGTAAAAATCGATGAAACACATCGAGAAATCTACGAACACAATCGATGAACACCATGGAAAAAAACGATATGAACCATGGAACAAATCGATGAAAACCATAGACAAATTCGTTGAAAACCATCGAAAAATCGATGAAAACCAAGTGAATCCAAACGGATTACGGTTGGAAAAGGGAACTGACCACCCCAACATCGCGATTTGAGCACCAGGTGAAGTTTTAGATTGGTATATGAATGAGGCGGTCGCCTTTGATAGGTTGACTATGGTTATAGTTGATTGTTGGCCATAGTCAACCGTAGTTATCTTTGACGATTGGCCATTGTTGACTTTGGTTATAGTTGACTATGGTTATCACCTTTGATTGTTGGCAAAAGGTTCAGACCACATGGTTCAAGATGATGTCACACATGTCCTTGAAAGGCTTGCTGGTTCACGTTTGGTGCTGTTCGGCACGGGAAACAGCTCGGACATGCATCTGCTGGTTTGAAGGTGTGCAACAAGACTTTAAGAGATTGAGTTTATAGAATCACCACCATCCTATTGCCAGCGACCTTAAGAACTATGACAACCAAGCTCCAAAGCCCCGAAGTCGACTCCAAGAATTGACATGAGTCCATTGACCCAGGCACTGCTGCTGTTGGGCCGTTTGCCCACTTGGTTGCAGAAGCCAGACACGCAGGGCCATGTTAGGCGGGGAGACATGAGGGAAACTGCCAATTCCAACGGATTGGAATCTCATGCTTCACATCAAAAGCATCTATAAGAAATGGGTTTTGGACAACACATATGTCACATATGGGAATGTGTTTTATTATGTTTTTATTTTTTTGCGTGTCTGTCTGAAAAGAAAAATGTGGGAGCCCAACCCCATGCGCTGTTTCAATTGCTGTGAGCGTCACCTATCGGGCCATGAGCGCCATGACCTCATGAGATAAACTGTCTGTGGAAGTAAATAGAAATTCAGTAGAACTGTCATAGCTAGAAACTACCCTCTGGTAATTTAACATAGCTATAGAAAATCACATTTTTTTAATAGGTAAACCATCTATAAATGGGCCATTTTTCATAGCTATGTTAGTTGACCAGCTGGGGTTCGATCCAAGTATGAATGGCAGATGGCTGATCTACTTCAGCAGACTATTTGTTGTAGGATTTGGCGGCGCACAAAGAGCGCCTTGTCGGACGTACGTGAGAGGTTCAATGTTATATGGCCACATAATCCCCATTTCAGTATTATGAATACTGGTCCATTGTTCTACCATGTTAGATTAGGACGCTTGATGTTTTGCACAGACTTTAACCCGTCATTGCCCCTGGATTTTCAGCCCGGGGGAATCGTGGCCAGGAGTTTGCTGGATGTGACCCTCCCCTCGCTTTGCTTAGCCTTCCATGGCTTATTGGGACAACCTGTTGCTCTAGATCCAGAGGTTGCCAGCACGCTGGCGGAGGTGGGGGGATGGGGATGGGAGTATCATTGAGTCATAGGTCATGGTACTTGTTTGGAGGGTTCCCCCATTCTCAGACACAGCTACATAAGTTTAGCTGTTATGATCTGATGTTGGATGGTGTTGCTGCCAACACACAGGGAATACAAGGACAGTCAAGTCAGCTCGTAGCTTCAAAGATGGCCTGATTTTAAAGTAATTTGCATGATGTGGCTAAAACTGATTTTGAAGCACTGATTTGAGTGGGCAGTCAAAGGCGTAGATATTGCAGGTTGTTGGTGGGTAAAGAACGTCCTGGCCTGGCCAAACCCGAGAATGTACACAGATGTTGTGGGCATGTGCTTGTGTCACCTGAGCAGCGCAAAGCATGTCAGAGTTTCAATGCATCAAACTCATCCAAATTCCAGATATAGCCTTGAAGTGGAATCAACATCTGCATTTTTCCAGGCTGCCATCTCCAGTGGATAAACGGATGAACACATTTTTCCAGTTCGAAGATGTTCCAACTTGTCCAACCATCTCCACGACGTCCAGGTGCTAATATCCCTGAACAAAGCTTTGGGGCATCTTGGCTTCCAGTATCTTCCAGTTAAGCCTGCCATGGCTGGAACGTTGTGTGATTTGAAGGATCGGATAGTCATAGTCCCTCATCCATGGAGGTAGGAGCGGTGGACACCTGCAATCGATAGATTAGTCTTTCGAGTTTGTATCCATAGTTTGATTATCGATTGCACATGACAGTATGATACTATTAATATATTTAATATTGCACACTATGGTACTATGATACATTATCCATAGTTTGGTCCAAACAAATGTCACCACCTCATCATTCCAGAACTAGTCCATAATTATTAATGGCTCGATAGAACATAGTCTTGCCCCCAGAATCTTCCCACAATCTTCCTTGACCATAATTATGTCCCACAATATCGCAAGCCAAAAAAACATAGAATATGTTCCCAGCATCATCCCCTATAGTTACTGTATATCCAGATTAGTAATAAGCCATAGGCTTAAAACCATATGTCATGGATGATATTCCATTTCATGAATGCATCATGTTTTTTTCCCATAAGTCAACCAACCCCATATGCTCCATGGTGCTGGAATATGTACCAACATTTGCCCTTGTCCAAAATCACCCAGTTATGTAGGTAAATATACCACACATGGAGCATATGGGAACCACCATATCTGGTTGGTGGTTTGGAACATTTGTTTTTTTTCCATATATTGATTATTGGGAATGTCATCATCCCAACTGACTTTCACTCCATCGAATATGTATTGATTATTGGGAATGTCATCATCCCAACTGACTTTAACTCCATCATTTTTCAGAGGGGTAGGTTGCTCAAAACCACCAACCAGATTATTATTAATCATCATTAACCATAATATAATAACCATATATAATAACCATTATATAATAACCATATATAATAACCATATATAATAACCATATGTTGACCGTTATTACTAACCCTCGATCCTTCCATCGTTTTTTCGAGGACGGCCTTCACGGGACCCTTGGACCAGGCCTTCGAAGTGGATTCGCTGCCCTTCTCCTTGGCCGCTCAGCTGGCGGATCCGTTGCTCAGCGAGGTGACCCGAAGCTTTCCATGGAATGACTGGGAATGGGATCCATAGCACCTAATTATTTATAGATAAAGCTAACTAATAGATGGTAAATGATGGTAACTAATGACCATAAACTAACTAATATGTTTGTAATTATTATCAATAAACTGTAGAAGCTAACTTTATTAATGGCAATAGTTATAATTGATGGTAAATGATGGTAAATGATGGTAATAATTAGTGGTTAATGATGTTAATGATTACTGATGTGGGTAAATCATTGTTTTAAACCAGCCATTTGGGAATGGTTTTTGCAGTATGATACATGCAGAATATTTCCATAGTTGAAGGTGTCGAGCCATGACATAGTATATTGCGCGCTGTGTCAGCCATGACATCTTGTGTCAAGAGTGTCATGAGGTTTGGCCACAAAAAATCAACTTTCACCAATGTTGAAGGTGCCATAAAATACCCGGCCTCGTAATTACTAACATAGCTATTGAAAATGGGCCATTTATAGTGAGTTTTTTCCATTTAAAATGGTGATTTTCCATAGTTATGTAAACGTTTACCAGAGGGTAATGAATATTAAATGTCCATCCACATTATTAGTGGATATTAATGGATCTTAAATTCCATAAATCCCATTAATCACTGGATATTAATCACTGGATATTTCATGAAGAAATCAAGTTTCAATCAAATATTTGTTCCCATGACTTCAGCCCCAGCCACGCCATGGGGGAGGAGTCCCTGGGCGAGTCCTTGCGCGACCTCGCTGAGCAGTTGCAGGCAGAGGAGCTGCGACAGTTGGTTGGAAAAAACAACACGGGCCAGCATGGACTCGGAGGATCTGGTAGCGGAGGTTTCTTAAGTTAGTATCCCCAAGTCACCATGGTTGTTTCAATACGAAAATGGTTTCATGACTTGGATGATTTAGGGTACCTCCATTTTAAGAAACCGCCAGATAAGTATGGATGAGCAACCAGCTCCGAGATTTCAATGGTGATCATGTTGATCCAATCAAACCAAGTTGTAAAAAATACAAAACAATAGCGATCACGGCAGGATCAGCAGTTGTAAAACAATCGGTTGCACAAGGAAATTTCACCAACGATGTGGTATGTGTCTGGTGATATTTATTTTTGTGAACATGTGTAACATAGGAGAAATATGAAATAAACACCTTGGCTCCTCATCAATTAATATAACCCATAGGATCCATGGTGCTGGTATATATGCTAACATTTGGGGTATATTGATGGTAAATGTTACCATATATATAGCATACATGGATCCTATGGGTAATATTATATAATATTATCATTTATATATATAAGGTTTATGATCAAGTGTTTACAACCACATTATCATAGTTTTGGCGTAGGGTGGCGATCCATGGTTGTCCCATAGCCAACCGATGGACGGATTTTGATTCAAACAACCACTTTGCTATATGGCCATATATGTGGGGGTGAGTGATTTGTAGGTCTCACAACTGGAACCATCGAAACCAAACATGTGATGATATGAAGTACTTTGTTGGTTCTACGATTTTTGTTGCCGTTGGTTCATATCCCTCATGTTTGTTGCAATATTTACAAATGTACACCCCTCTCTCCCCCCAAAAAAGGAAACAGAGTTCAGCCAGACAGCCGCATTGTTGATAATACTTCCTAGACCATGGATATTAGCTGGTTGGTGGTTTCAAAGATTTTTTGAATTTTCCATTTCATATATGGGATGTCATCCTTCCCATTGACGAACTCCATCATTTTTCAAGATGGTTATTGCACCACCAACCAGACACCATCCCCAGTGACTTTCCAGTCAGGGCCCTGCTCCGCTGAGGTCCCGGTCGCGCTTCACGCCCATGCTACCTCGTGGTGTTCAGGCCAAGTCTCATCAAAGATTAGGGTACAAGCATGTACAACCAGCAATTCGGCTTTGATAATTTGGGGGCAAAAGCCTTAAATTATTCATGGTGTTCCATGGTTACTGGATCCATTTTCAGTGGAAACCTTAAACCATTTAAGGAAACATCAAATCCGTCAAAGTCATGATGTTCCCTTTCAACATGGCCGTCTTCGGGGGTGTACCAGTGTACCACATTTTCAGACACCAGTTTATCACCATGTTGTTTGTTGATTGTACCAGTCGAAATGGAGGGGTATAATACTATATTAAAAGTTTTAAGGCTACAGGGGGGTACCGTGGTTTTCTCGTTGAATTGTTTTTTTCATGAATGTTCATCCATTCATGATATGTTCGATCTATTCTACTTGTATTTATAGTCAGATGGTTTTCGAGAGGGAATTTCTCATCAGGGGGGTGACGGGTCAAAATCTAGCCAACCACAAAAATTGGGGCATGAAGTTCATGAAGACACGAACTCATGGCAACACAATTGCGTTCGTTTATAGGATGTGAGAACCTCACGGTACCAGGGTGAAATGAGTTCATTTGGGGATGGTTCTGGCCATTTAGTTGATGCTCAGCAGGGTATCCGCAACATATTTCGAGGTGTCCAAACATGGCTTGGGCTGAGAATATGAAGTGTTGGAAAAAGTTCTCCAAAATAGGTTTTAAATGCTACTCAGCTACTCAAAATATCTTCTAAGTTTCACCAGGTCGGAAGGCTATGGAAAACAGCGCTTCAAGCTGTTGAAATCTGATAGGGTTGGTCTGCACCTGGGACTCCGTCGGTCTTGCGCCGACTTTGCAGGTGCCACCCTTGTGTTTGGGTCTTGGCAGGTCATTGCCTCAGGAAGTGGAACATCTGGCGGAAGCGGTCCCAAAATGGACCCGAAATGTGGCTCCGAACTTCACCACGGCTGACCACAACAATTACTGGTTGATTTTTATTGGTTTTCAAATTGTCGTGGCCACAAGAATTACTTTTGCTGGCCAACAATTGTAGTTAAAACAGTGATTAGTAATTGTTGTGGCCACCTGCCTGCAACGAAAAGTGATTTGTTTGGGTACCTGATGACTTTTGAGCTATCCCAGAACGTAGGGCACCTGCCGTTGCGAACGCCACGGGGCGTCTTGAGGCCTCAAGGGGAATGTGTCGATTGGAATGAACGGAAGATCTGCCACTTTCAGGACTCAGCATGAGTCTGCGAGCTGGTGGCCCTGGGGGATGCTGAGGTTATTTAAGAGTTTGTCTAAAAATGGTGTACACCACCATTCCATTCGCCCATTTTTTTCCAATATAAGGAGAATGATGATCAACCACTGGGCTCAGGGGGTACCCAATTTCCAGAGAAGATTCCGAAGTTGGCCTAGGGCCGACCAGGAGACCAGGATTTGAAGGATGTGTGAAAAGCATGGTTGATTTGTTTTGAAAGTGTCAGATCCCTATTGGAAACTAGTGGTGATTCAAAGGGCTCAAAGATCAAAGAGCTCTCGGGAAGCCCCGGTTAAAACACTTGGTTCCAGACCAGCGACTCGCTGCTGGGATGACTGTAGAATGTTTACCTGCGCCCTATAGGGAGCTTGCACAGCAAAGATTTTTTTTTTTTTTTTTCCGGAGTTGTCAACACCCGATTTTTGATCATCTCCCAACAAGCATAGACCTTGCCATGACTTGGGGGTTAGAAGACTAGCTTCTTCTAAACATGTTTGATTCTGCGTGTCGAGCTCTGTGTTTGTGGATGGTAAATCATAAAGAAATCACTATCTGGCTGCTAACCATTTTTTGATATGTTTTAGGTTGGTGAACCCTCAAATGATGAAATTTTAGCATGATTTCCGTCTCAAGTTTCAGTATAGGAATCCCATCCCATTATATATGTATATAGATATATATTTATATATCCCCGTGCTTCCCTATTATAAATCCCATTTATGGATTTACTGTGGATTTCCAGGGTTTCCCCAAATATATCATTAGATAATGTGTAATATATATATATATACACATACATATCCAGTTCATGCCAGTTCAATTCTTCTACTTTCTTATGCCATACCCTCTGGTAAACGTTTACATAACCATGGAAAATCACCATTTTGAATGGGTAAATCAATAATCAACTATTTCTATGGCCATTTTCAGAAATGGTGATTATTAATGGGTAAATCAATATTAACATAGCTATGGAAAAGCACCATTTTTAATGGGAAAACTTACTATAAATGACCATTTTCGATAGCTATGTTTGTTTACCAGAGGGTATATTCCGCTATGAGGCTTTCTGATAGTCATGGATACCCAGTACCATGGCGTGGCGTTTTTCGGCGTCAGGAGCAGGATTGGCTGCCTAGCGAAGTCGTCACCTTGGAGGTATCCGGATGGGGTGCTTAAGAGGTTCAACGATTGGAACGTGATTTTATGGTGATTTTATGGTGGTTTAATGGTGATCAAATGATTCAAATGGGTTTTACCCTCTGATAAACCATGGGAAAACCATGGGAAAATGGGAAAACCATAGGAAAACCATAGTAAAATGGAGGTTTACCCTCTGGTAAACATACCAAAAACTATTGAACATGGCCATTGAAATAGTGTATTTACCCAGCTATAATGGTGATTTTCCATATTAATGGGGACATATATATATATATATATACGCATCTTATGTATCATCTGAAATGTAGAAAAATAGTATAGCCATTGATCATGAAAATTATGTGATATACTTTATATACATATATTGCCATTGTAGGGATATGTATACTATATATATATACATATAGAATCGGAATATGATAGGGATGTGAATATGTATATAATGGTATTTAGCCTTTGGTAATTGAACATAGGTAAATCATCGAACTAAATGGACCATGTTCCATGGCTATCTTAGTTTAATAAGGGCTAAGGGACTGTTTTCTTCGGTGTTTCTGTTCTTAAAACCGCTTAATGACCTGGTACATTTTGTGATGTATAAAACATAATATAATGATTCGTAAAAAACAAATATAATATATATATATAACACATATATAAACAGAACATGTATAGTGCTATTTAACGGCATTTGTTTGTTACAACAATAGATAATGATATACGATATTTATTCAGATGTTATGCTCATCCAGTTGACCTGGCTGTTACAAAAATCTCTTGCGGCTTGATCTTTTTTTGGATGGTTGCTTTATGTCCCAGTCAGATATGGTCGGTAACATATCCCAAATTCATTGACCAAAGGGTGGTCCCTAATTGACTCACTGATATTTTTGCCATGGAAACAATCTGTTGCTCTTGGGAGACTCGAAAGGCAGAGACGGTTCCGTCAGAGTTGAAGGAGGCTGCCGGGACCGAATGAGTACGGCTGTTTCCCATATATCATATACTTAGATGAGCGGTTGGCAGCAAGGGAAAAAAAACATGATGGAGTATTCCACAATCTTAAGAGAGGGACCGAAATTGGTGAACACTTATGCAACGTGATTGTATAGCAATGCATGAGGTGAAGTAACGCCTCTTGACGTTCAGAATTGTTTTCAGAAATCACCCTTCATTATTCTACATATGGGCTTGGGCCGGACACGGTAGGCAAAATTGAGTACCTCTGAAACTTGAGGGTAGATATCCCTCGATTTGCTGCTTCAATCCAGATTTTTCTTGCTGAAATCTCCATATGTTTCAACATATTTTCTGCACCACAAGCTGTTCAATGTGTTTGATGCTTCAACCACCATTGTTCATCATGTTTGATGGTTAAATTCTCAATCAATCACAGTTTTTCATGGTTTAAACCACCATTTGTCACTAATTTGTCAGCATTTCCCTTGGTGATTCATCTCCATTTCACCCCATGATCCTTTTGGCTCCAGCCGCCAGCCATGACGCGTTGGGGTTGCCGCGTGCGAACGCGCTTGGGATGCCTGGTGGCAGGTGGGGACCCCGCTGGAATTGCCATTGAAATCGTTGATTTACCATAGGAAAATGGCGATTTAATGGTGATTTTATGGTGATTCTACTATAAAACCATAGGAAAAACTATAAAACCATAGGAAAATGGTGATTTAACCAACTCTAACTGGTGATTTTTCATGGTGATTTTATGGGGTTTTAATGGTGATCTAATGGGATTTACCCTCTAGTAATGACTAACAGTTTGCTATTGAAAATTGCCATTTATAGTGAGGAATGCCATTCAAAATAGTGATTTTTCATAGTTTTGTAAACGTTTACCACGTTTACCAGAGAGTAGACAAAACCATATGGTGTCATATTGGATGACAATCAAGATCGATCAAGATAATGAAGTTATATACATCATGATTATATCCTATTATATTATACCCCCATAAAATATCATCAGTTAGATCCTTGTATATCATAAGTCCATAAGATACCCCGTTAGATCCCTTTTTTTATACCATAAAATCCCATAAAATCCCATTTTTCAGAATTCCTCCACGCGAGGCTTCTGCTTGACTCACTGGTCTCTGTCCTTTCTTCAACCGCTTCGAGAGCAACGCTGCGCTGCGATCGCGCTGAAGGTGCCGAAACCAGCACCATCCAACATCACCAGTTCCGAATGGGATTCCAACCATCCCCAAATATGGTTAATATATGGGATAATCCTGGTTAATATATGGGATAATCCTGGTTAATCATGGTTAATCATGGTTAATCCTGGTTAATCCTGGTTAATCCTGGTTAATCATGGTTAATAATGGTTGATATGGTTGATAATGGTTAATAATGGGAGAACATAACTGGTTGGTGGTGACTGGAACCATGGAATTTTGAATGACTTTCCCATCATATTGGGAATTTCATCATCCCAACTGACGAACTCCATCATTTTCAGAGGGGTAGGTACACCAGCAACCAGAATCATATTCCATATATTTGGGTTGAACTGCATGATCAAGATAGATGACAGGATTGCTCCAAATTATTAAATATACATGCATATATTTATATATATAATATATGTGTGTGTGTGATGACCGCAAGAGCGGACGGAATATAGTTGTTTATCGTATTTGGGGTGTTGAAAACATGCAGGTGTCCCTGACACATGGATAATATGTCAAGATCTGGTGACGAGAGATGTTGACTCCACGATTTCCAGCATCCAAATTCAAGCATTCCCTGGATGATGGTATTGTAATGTATTGTATATTTGTACTTAAGATACATCAAGAACTCTATATATAATAATAATATTAAAAATAATGTTAATAATAATATTAATAATAATAACAATTTAATGTATATATCTATTTATATATATATTCTTAATACATTTGTTCCCACTACTTCAGCATCTTTATTTCCACTAATTAATGGGGCATTTGCAAAATCCCATCGGCGACGGGTGGTTTTTCTCAGGCCCGAGGCGGAGAGTATGAGATTAGTGTCTTGACCGCGGCGGCAGCTGATCTAACATAGCCATGGGATACCCTCTGGTAAACATACAAAAAACTATGGAAAATCACCATTTTTAATGGGAAAATCCACTATAAATGGCCATTTCAATAGCAAACTGTTAAATTACCAGAGGGTAGATGGCCCATGGATATCGGATGTCGATCATTGACCGCATATATTGTAATGGTAAAATGTTCCATAGGTATATACTTAAGTACCAGAGGGTACAATTCAAATTACGAATAAGAATGGTGGTTACCTCCGGTAATTTAACAGTTTCTTATGGACATTTATGGACAACCACGAATTTTGATTGGTATATCATCTACCAACGGGCCATTTTCCATTCTATGTTAGATTGCCAGAGGGTTATTGGTGATGTCCTTACGTCCAGTTGGACTAGAAGAACCGAACAAAACCAAATCCGAATCGCAACGAAGATCAATGAACAACATCTGCAGCAGGGGCAGAAAGTAACTCAGAGTTGTGGTTCGAATGGCAATTGGCACACTAGCAATCACCAGCAACAAAATAAACCATTTGATTGAATGGTGCTGCAAATTGGAAAGGTAGTTGACGCTAAAACCAAATGACTTGAGGCCTTTCCATCTCTTTTCAGATGCTCTCACCACGGGAAGACCTTTTTTTTTGGCAGCGGTTCATACCATGGCAAAGACCTTCTGGTGTTATGGCTGCAATGTTTTGTTTTACTCGTCACCCCGAACACCTGGGAAGTATATTAATATATACATTATATGTATTATATTGTATTATGATCATACTATATCATACTTGTATGATTATTCTTCAATCAACCATAATAATGTATATATATACATATTCTATACGTATTACATAGCCATTACCTCGGACGGACTTTTGTTCTTCGGCGGCCGGTGTGGAAGTTTTTTCTTGTTGCCTTGTTGCCTTCAGGTGACGCGGACATCCAGGACTTCTACGGCAAGCTGCTGACCGGTCCTGGGGGTGAACCTGCCAAGGGGACGGTTCTCTCGGAGCTGATCGTGAAGTTCTTCCACGGGGACGCTCGGTTTTTCGTGGTATCGTTGCTTCGGACAGGGACAGCGGAGCAATATGAAAAAAGGGGTGCCACCACGGCAGATAGAAAACATGGTGAAACATAGTTGAACCACCTTAGGACCACCTTGTTCAAACTATACAATAGATATTTTTGTATCTCGTGACAGAAAGTGCTGATATACTTGGACTAATATGAAGGTGAGGCACCCCAGTGAAACGTTGCTTCGTTCAGAAAGCCATTCACTATGTTAAATCATTAAAACGTATATTTACAGTTTATAATTATAGTTATATATTCCCAACAAACCATAGGTACAGTTTAGGGCATCTCAGCCCTTCAGCTTGTGATTTTCTCTTCATGGATTGTCCAACTGGGTGTTTTCTTCTGTGAGATGGGTTGGTTTGTCCCTCAACTGAGATGCGGTCAGTTCAAGATGTCTGAAAATGGAGGACCACAAGTTCCAATGGATTTTCATCCTTTTCCGCACCAAACTGGGGATGGGTCAAAACCCTGGCACCTAGTGAACATCAAAATTGCTGGTAAATGAATGTTCATCCCCTGACAAATTGTATCTATAGGTATTGGTCCATAGCCAACTGATAAGGCGACATTTCGAAGTATACGCCATGGTTGGACAAACCCAAACGATACGATTGGTCAAATATACTTTAATCATATTAAGTTATATCATATTGTATCCCCACCGTATAACTTCATATTGCCAGTACATCCCGATTACATCCCCACTACAGTCACTTTGGTTTGTTTTATATCTTCATTTTGATTGCTAGAATTCCATATATGATTTTCCATGTTGTTTTTCCTCAAAAAAATTGTTCGCACAAATCCCATAACTAGAATTCCCATGGTTTTCCTATTGTTTTCCTGTGTTTTTCCATAGAATTCCATATGGTGTTCCTATGGTTTTCCCATGGTTTTCCTAGGTTTTCCTATGGTTTTTCCCATAGCTATGGTACCATATGGAGATTTCGCCACGGCGTGGCGAGGAGTTCTTGCCTTCGGGCTTCCGACGCTACTCCGGGCAGTGGAAAGGGCCACCTCCAGGCGGACGATGGCTTTTCGAGTGAAGGATGGTGGTAGAAAACCATGGTTTAACCATGGTTGAACCATGGTTTAACCATGGTTTAACCACTGGTTGGTGGTTTGGAACCATGATGAACCATGGATTTTTGATGTTCCATTTGGTATATATGGGATGTCATCATTCCCATTGACGAAGTCCATCATTTGTCAGAGGGATTTTGTAAGGTGGTTTAACCGTTAGTTTAACCTACAAACTTACTGGTGCGTTTTACGTAGGGAATTTTCGGGAATGATCCACTGGCTAACAACTTACTGGTGCTTAGTAGGGAATGAGGGAATGATCCACAATAACTATTAATAACTATGAAAAATAATCCGAGCAACCCCCAGCAACCCATCCAGCATCCCTACGCTACTAAGCACCAGTGAGTTAACCATGTTTAATCCCAGCAACATTCTTTTAGGATGGGGCCCCAAATGACCTTAAATAGCCCAAATTGTGAAGATTCACTAGTGAACATGCTGGTTTTATATATATATATATAATATGGTTTGATTTACTGTAATATGAAAGAAATTAGGGTATGTATCAATAATGATCCATAGCTATGATTTTCCATGTGCGGGGGTGAACATAAATCCCAGCTATCTTGGGGTTCACCAGAGTACTAGGGTTTTGACCCATAGCCAGATTTTTGAAATACAAGCTAGACTTATCAAAAATCCAGTCTGTTCCAGTGTGTTCCAGTTGAGGACTAGAAACCAATCTATGTATCAATGGATTGGCTTAAGGGAACATCTACAGGAAACCCATAGTTTTTACCATCAAATATAGGGGTTTCCTGTAAATGTTCCCATCATCCAGTTCTATGAATGTCTGTTCTCGATATCCATTTACTGGAAGGATGTTCAATCACCCATAGGATCCATGTATGCTATATATGGTAACATTTACCATCAATATACCCCCAATGTTAGTATATATACCATACATGGATCCTATGAGTCAGGAGTTGGACATCAGCTTGGGTTGCCACGAAAAAACACAGTCGTCACAGTCGTCATTTCGACGACTGAATGCCTAAGATGCGGCCGTCATTTTTCATTGTGGTGCCCACGAGGGTGAAGCCTGATCAAAAAAAGACCATCTAACATCATCCAACTATAGTTATGATATGTTATGATCACCATTGATCACCAATAAACCTTACTATAGTTATGTACCAACTTAGCATCTCACCGATCCAGCTGAATAAAGACGTGTTGATTAAGACGTGTTTTCTATCGACAAATAAAGCCCTTAGCATGTCGACAGTTGTTCATTACATTTAGCATATGTTTGGCTCAGCAGTCCATGTTTTACCCTCTGGTAAATAAACATAGACCTTGAAAATCACAAATTTTTAATGGAAACTAGTCTTCCAACCCCTATCTGCCAGGGTCTATGTTGTCAGCATGTTTAAATCTGCACAGATACGTATGTCGCCCTTTTTTTTTGCAGAAAGCCATGGCTTCCAGGCACCATCGTCAAGTCGATGTCTTGCCACACCATCCATCGGTCTTGTGCCGTGGCTGTCACGTCGGCAGGCACCATCGGCCAGTATGACATCGAAGTGGGCGTGATGTGCTTAAAGGAGCGGCGTCGGTCAGGATCCCTGTACTGCCATGGTTAGAGAATGTTATGGATAGTACGAGTGGAATCCTCCTAACATGGGTCTATCTTCTGTCTCTTGCCCATATGGTTGTTGTGTGTGTTTTTTGTTTTTTAACAATAATATAGTACATTCCCCTAAACATGACTTTAAATATAGAATCTAATAATATATATATATATATATTATCCCCCAAACATGATATATACATAGAGAATCTAATATAGATATCTTAGATAGCTATATCCCCTAAACATGATCTAGACATATCTATACATAATATCTATGAGGTTATCCGACCAGTTGTCCGACAGGAGCAGATGGAGAAGCCCACTCTAATCACCAAGGGTGGCGTGGGCTATGGAGTGGATGAGACCGAAAAGGTCGTTGTGACTTGGAAAACCACCGGAGCTGGGTGAAGCCCTTCATTTCACGGACATTTCACCTGTGATTCATGTTTTTGTTCATGGATCTGAGTGGACATTTGTTGAAATTTGATGAGTTTAATGGGACTTAGGCAAGAAACATGTGGAATGGACTATGCTAATTTATCCAGATAAGAATATCTATTTTATGCTGTTGCATATAGAAATGCAGCGCATCCCTTTTTTAGGGGGATGATGATGGGTTCAGTCACAGTCCCAGTCCAACTGTTCTGAGATGATCCCTACAGTATATGATCCATAAGGTTTGTTGATTAAAGGTGCATATATATATATATTATAATTATATATATGTGGTATGTGTATGTATATGTATATGTAAATGTTTTTGTATATGTATTTGTATATGTATATGTATATGTATATGCATTTATACATATATATATATGCATATATAGACACTTCATTCACTGTCCGTTTGTGGTGCATCGTACCACCACCAAGGACGATGGAAAGGGATGGATTTGGCTTGCAGCCGAGATGATGCTGGCCGAAAAGGGCTGGAAATTCCACTTAAGTCTCAACCCAAATGGGCCCAAGGGGTTGTTAGAATCTGTTTCTGAAAATGGATCCCCGGTCGCCACCAGGGGTTTCAATACTCAACTGATCATCCATGACTTGGATGATGCAAGGGGTACCATGACTTCGGAAACCTCCATATTGTGGTGAAATTGCACTACTCCCAGAGGTGAATGCACAAGAAAGCCCTAAGACCAGTGGTCAATACTATACATGTCAATACCATGGCTAAACCCATCCATAGAACAACTATGAAAAAACTTATTCCATGTTTTATTTTGAAGCCAAGATTGGAAGATATTTCTTGGACATCAAATTAATGATATATGTTTTTTCTTTTTTTAATAAGATCCATTCCCATAAGATCCATGTATGCTATATATGGTAACATTTACCATCAATATACACCAAATGTTAGCATATATACCATACATGGATCCTATGGGATTGTTCTTGGAGGTCTGGTTGTTTCGAGCTGAAGCCAGAAGTCGGTTTTCAGCTGTCAGCCGTTTTGCGCCCAGCTCTCAGGAGCCCAGGGGGTCTGGCCCTGGAACTCTTTAAGTCGGTGCCCTATGGCAAGCGAGCCATTCTGGTGGCCAAACAGAAAAATGTGGATGAACTCTTCAATTCTGCCCCTTGCCAGCCTTGAAAAATGGGAGAATTTGATATGATAAAATTCTGACCATGATTGAAATACCATGAACCATGGGGGAAGCCGATTCTTGAATCGGGACTTGAGCTAGATAGCGAATGGTTGACGCACATTTTCCTGGGTTGAAGGTCGGGTTTATGATGAATATATAGTTAATGGGTTTATAAACCATCAGACACAACTGGGGGAGGCCTTACCTTGTAGTGTATCAAACATATGTCTATGGATAAATACCTAATTCCCATTCTTGCGTGATGGACATCCATTTATCAGTTTGATGTGTACCAGGCTTTTGACAGCTTTTGACCAACAACCATATCATGATACGGAGGTTTCCTAAGAGGGGGTACCCCCCAAATCATCCATGTCATTGTTGGATTTTCCATTACAAACCATTAATTTTGGGGTACCTTCTATGGAAACGCCCGGTTTCACGTTGCGCGCAAACTTGCTTTGGCGATCATCCTTTCCTCAACCTGGCAGACATCCTGGCAGGGCAATCAATTGATGAATGCAGTGCAATGTGTGAGTATGTGCCATTGAATCGTTTTTTTTCTCAAATTTGGGTTAATCATTATTTTTGTTTCCATTTGGGTTAATCATCATGATATGGCCATTAATGGGCCCAATGGCCCATTTGGGTTAATCATCATTTAGATATGGCCATTTGGTGGGTATATATATACCCAATTTTCAGACACAGCCGACAATCATCTCATGGATTTGCTCCCAATCCATGGATTTTTTTTTGGCGATTCCTGTTGCGGGATGATGAAACTTGTGGTTGACACCAAAAATAACAATCAGACATGTGTCATGAGTATATCTATATGATTCTATATGTATATTGTGAGTTATAAACGACATTCATGACATATACATCTAGATTTACTCATCTCAATGTGATTTATTCATTACAAACGTAACACCACTAAAGCCACCATAAAAGCCATGAAATACCACACATCGCAATATATAAATCAGCATAAATCGCAGGGGTTTTGGTCAGTTCCATCATCATCTGCCCAGGTGAATTGGGATGTAGCCTTGGGAAATGTGGAGAAAACCTTTGCAGGGCCGCAGATTAAGCAGCGTTAGCTGCCTCTCGGTTCTGCGGTAAACCGCAGTTTTGAGATTCTTCTTGTTGTTGTGTTTTCTTTGTGTTTGTTGTTTTTGCAGTTGTTGTGGTGGTGGTGGTGGTGGTGCTGGTGGTGGTGCTGGTGGTGGTGCTGGTGGTGGTGCTGGTGGTGGTTGTTGTTGTTGTTGTGGTGGTTGTTGTTGTTGTTGTTGTTGACCGATTCAGCGGCTCAGCTGGTGGTGGGATGTTGCAGCTGGGTTCTTTGGTAGTGTCCTGGCATCACCGTAGAATTCTACATCATTTTACTCCAAAAGGGGCCTATGGCATGCATGGAAAAAACGTTTGCATCGTCACATTTGACCCTGCAGTCTGAGTAAGGGAACCAAATGGGAGTTAAGTATGATATGCTCCACCCATACTTAAGCCAATTTTAAAGTCATATCATGGATCATGGACATTCGTGATGAACTGCTGAGGAAGATTGCTGACAGTGATAATGATGCAGTTTCTTGAGTGGACACCATTGGTAAATAGATGTGATATAGGGGCAGCATGTCTGTCCACTAAGGGAGGGAGCCGATGCAATAAAGCATATTTCGGCAGCATGTTCAGCAGCTGTCATTATACCATATCATATTCCCATTGTATATATAATATATATATACATATACATATATATATACACATATATGACATATATATATATGACATATATATATATATGACAAATATATATATATATATATATTATATTATATGTATATACATTGTTTAAAAATTACGTTTCCCACTTGAGGGAAGCGCTTAACACCAGTGTATTTTCAAAGAAGGAGAGGCAATAACCACCTCGCTTGCGCAGCGTCCACGCGTCCACCCTCCGGGATGCAGGAGCTTTTGATCACGGCTACGCTCCGGTAGTTTGTTGCAAGTTCTTATTGAAGCATTGATTGATGTTTTGCCTGTATTTACATGTATTTATCTATCAAAAATGGTCTATATCTATGTCAAATAACCAGACGGTAGTTTGTGTAATCAATGTGCTATATCATAGATATCTATACAGATAATCCCATAATTAATCTCTCTGTTGTCCGTTGTCAGAGATGTTCAGTCGCTAAAAGCATGGCTGAAACTACTACAAACAACGTGAGTATGTCGGATGTTTTGGCAAGTAAACTCCAATTGACTCCAACTCCCAACAACCCCGCCGCAAATGATGTCTCACAAGAGGAACCTGTCCAAAACCCGTTTTTTCCAGTTCGTGAAATCGATGATTAGAGAATATTAGAGACAATAATCCTCAACCTAAATCATCAACCTAATCATCAACCTATCAATTTATCACTGGCAACTGTTTTTTTTTTTTTCGTTTGTTTGATTGTGATCGTCCTAAATTGTATATTCTTAGGGTTGATTTCACCAACAAAGCCTCACTTTTGTTCCCTTTAGCCTCTGCACCAAGGATGGTGCAAGCAGCTGTGATAGATATGATAGAACCATGTCCAAAGTGGCGTGATTAGATGGGACAAGGTTGATCCAGTTTTTCTGCTACCTGATTACCTGGATTTGCATCAGAACTTCGGGAATGCCCGCCGTATGTTTCGGATAATATGGATGTCCCCCCCATTTGGCAATCATGGGCACATCATAAATTTGACCGCCCACCCACTGGATTTCCCTCTGGAACTCCGCTGTACTTCGGCCTTTGGCTTGACAGACATCAGATGGTCGCAGAGACTGGCTCCACCTTGCCCCGAATTTTTGGGTTTCGTAGGTCGGTCATTTTTTTTCAAGCTCAGCTGGCGCAAACTTTTGGACAGCTCGACGACCCCCACGGACAGATCGCTCGTTTTGAGTCGTCGCAGTTGAAACGCTGCGGGTCTTGCAATGTTGATCAAGTTTGAGGATGGATCAAGAATGGACTAGCCAAGATAGATGGTTTTAGTGGATAATATAATATGCATGTTTCTCTTAAGACTATAAGACACCCAAAAATTGTGGAGTTGTTACGTAGACTTAAATTTCGGAAAAAAAACACATTTGAGAACTGGAGAGATGACGTCAGATCAACCTTTTTTGCCGTTAATGCATCAAAGATTAGCATAGTTTTCAGCCATACTATGTATAGAATATAATGTTTTGAAACATATGACATTATTCCTGTTGTATTTGCTTTATGGTACATAACATGATACAACCCATTATTTAATTAATCATATAATTATACACATGTTATATATATATATATATTATATTCATCAATATTCTTAATAGTTATATAAGTTATATATATATATTATATATTCATATTGTTGTTATTGCTATTATCATATATTACATTTAGTAAAATATTCTTATTATTATGTCTATATGTTCGATTATTATACCTCTACATATACCTCTACATATATGTATTATGTATGCACCATTGTTATCAAGCCAGGATAAGGCTTTCAGGCTTTCACGACACCTGCAATGCGGCGCCATCACGTTCCTGGCTTTCACAGTTTGTGTTCCGACGTTTCTCTATGATTCGCTATAGCCATTGGCAGAAAAAAAGGGTCTCCATGATATGTATATATATATAAAAGTCATTCTAGTGGTTGATGTGTAATTAGATATAATTAAAATGTCTACTATACATTATATATATATATGTACATGATTCTATTTGTATATGTCCATGAAATGCACATTCGGAACATCATGTGCTTTTTTGCCTGCCAAAAATTTCATGGTGTCTTCTTTTTTTGGAGGTCTCAAGGTCCCACCAATTTGTGAAAAAAACACTTGCAGGGCAGATTTTTCTATATCCAATGATCCAATCCCCAGTATTCAACACCCGCATTCGTCCTAAATATGTAAAAAATCATGGTCTCTGGGAGGTCTGACTGATTAGCTGGGGGAAGGGATTAATTTTCAGAAATGATAACGGGGTATATTCTATTGCCTGGGTTATTGGGGATCTATTGAGGATTGTAGTGGGGAGAATGGAGAAAGTAGTTTATTCACATGAATTATATAACTTATAACCATTTTCCATGATTAAGTGAGACAACCCAGAAGTTATCCAGTCGGCATTTTTCCCAATCACTGTGAAGGATCAGATCCAGTCGTGATGAATATCAATTCCGTACAGACTTGGTTAGCTAGTTGGACCTTCGTTGCTAGACAAATTGCACAAGAACCAGGACGAAGCAGCTAAGAACAGTGATTTTGCCGTCTAAGATTCGCCCTACATTGTTATTGATGCTTCATTTCCGTGTTGAACGACCAGTGATACGCCTATTTATGTGCGCTGTATATCTAAGATTCGCAATGAATTGTTGGTGACATGTCCATTACCCAATAAGATCATATAAGCCCCAGTACTTTTTTATTATATCCCCATATAGGGTTTGCCTCAAAAACACCCCACATTTCATGATTAACTTGCCCTTAAAAAATCCTCATTTTATAGCCATTCTGCCATGATCAGAATCATATCTCGGATATTGCCTGTAGATCGCACATTATCCCATATGATCCCAGGAATGTTAGTAAAGCTATAGGATCCACCATCCCCACATGTCCCGGATGTTTGAATGTGTAGTATAACATTGGTATATAAATGGTATAAACGTATATAAACCAGCTATAGCCATATGGAGGTTTCCTCCATTGTGGGGGGTACCCACAGTTCTCATCCATATTTTAACCGGGATTTTCCATTTTCAATAAACCATCCAGCGAGCTTGGGGTGCCCCCATGACTTAGGAAACCTCCATAGTTTCCCATGATTTTCCAAGGATTTTGAACCATGCTTGGTGGTTTTGAACCATGCCATCTGGCATTGCTGGCGTGTCCATGGAGGTGGCTTCCATGACGGTGGCCTTTGAGTTGCCTGCAACCCTTCCAGAGGCCACCTTTGCCGTGGCCAGATCGCAGATTTCGGGGAGATCATAGGTGGGAAAAACCGCATGGGTAAAGCATGAAAAATGGCGGTTTAACATGGTTTAACATGGTTGATAGGGGACATATATGTATAATATTTTTATAATATATATATATACAGTTATATAAATAATGGATTGATGGGCATCATATATACAGTTTTCCAATGTTTGGGGCACCCACTTCTGACCCATTTTGGGGTTTTGGGAAAACGAACAAAGGTTTTGTTCGTCCTTACTCATGGCTTTTAGCGGTTAATTAGCCAATAATGATATCTATCCCTTATTGCTGGGGTTGATTGAATCAACTAAGAGAAGTCGATAGCTGGGGGTTGCTGCCGTCAATCGGCTAAGCCCTTATACTGGTTGGTGGTTTCGAACATGTTTGGAATTTTCCATAATATATGGGATGTCATCCTTCCCATTGACGAACTCATATTTTTCAGAGGGGTAGACCACTAACCAGTATAAGATGACCAGCTCTTAGTTCCATAGTCCCCCCTAGCCGACTGCTAAGGCGTGGATGTTAGAGTTCGTGCGTGCGAGTTCTGATGAACTGGAGGCGAACTGGAGGATCCCCAAAGCTGGGAGTAAACATTGGGGAGATCATCGGTAAACATCTACTTCTGATATTTGGTGAAATGTGAATACTGTATAATACATTCCCATGTTTCACTCATGTTTTTCGATTTGGTGAATGTCAACCATGGAAGATCCAAGATGGTCTCACAGTTTTTCGTAAGGCATCGGGACAAAGATGGATGTAGCATGTTGATGCATGTTGTGTTGGTGGCTCGGCAAGACCCTAAGACTTGAATCTGGGTTTAGCTGGATGGTTCGGTTGTGAATAGACTTGTCTTCTCGATGATTGAGAGGACGATTCTGACGATCATTTTTTCTCAGGGAAGCTGCAACCAGAAACCGGAATTTGATACGTCCTGCGAGTTCGCTATTCCAACCTAATTTTGTTTCAAGTGTGCAGTGTGACGTCCTTTACAATTTCATCAAATCAATTTCTTTTTCACTGATCAAGTATGATCAAGTTCCAAAGTTGGCATTCTTGGAAATTCAATAGTGATATGGCTTTATTATGGCTTTTTAATAATGTATCACATTTGGAATGTGATCGGATAGATTCCCTGGTCCATTTCTATCCATACCCTCTAGTAAACTAACATAGCTATGGAACATCACCATTTTTAATGGGAAAATCGACTATAAATCACCATTTTCAATATATGTTAAATTACCAGAGGGTATCTCGGTTGGTTGGTTGCGGATGATTTGATGATTCGGCCGCCAGGAGCCGATGGATCCGGCGCAGGTGACCTTCTTCCTATGTCCCCTGGACGATTCGCCGGAGATGGCCGGGAGACCTGGATGCCGTGGGCGAAGACGTTTGGGATTCGTTTTTTTTTTGGGGGGGTTTTGAAAAGGATGATGTCTGAATCGGAGAATGTTTGATGATGTTTTTTTTTAAATGGTGAGTTTTTTTTTGGAACAACGGAATAAGCCTGATGAGAGTTGCTTTGCATATAAACTCTCGAAATTACCATAGACATCTTTCGAAATTAGGCTTTTTAAAGCAACAACAGTGCGGATATTGCCAGCCAGAAGTGGGATCATAAATCATCTCGCAACGTCACAATAAATGATGCTTAGTAAGGGAAAGCATGCCTAAATGGCTTTTAGCTTGATGAATTTTATAAGTTATCCAAGTACAGGTGAAACGGTGAAACTGATGTTTTGGGTTGATACTTTTAGTGTGTCACCTGTATTTGATGAACACATTTGGTTACTTCAAAAAACCTTCAGATCATATTTGGTTACATGGTGAAACTGATGTTTTAGTCTCATGAAGGTTGTTTGGACGATTTGAGACCAAATTAAAATTGCTCTGATGATGTTGGGCACCTCACCCACTGGGACGAGTGATACTGTATGTGATGAGGTTGCAGGGAAGCTTTCGTGTCATGTCCGTGTTTCATTGGTTGCAGGGCAGCCTGGCTCACCTTGTATATTATATAAAATATATATATATATATGAATTGCCCAATAGGATTAAAAGTGAATGTTGTCCATTCTTGTTTTGCTGGAAGATATTTTGGGTGTCAAGCAAACAGCAACATGATTGAGACCAAGCCTGTCTCAAGCCAGTATCTGAGCACATTGTATATATCAAAATTCCTGAAGGTGGAAGAAAGCACTTTTCCATGTATGCAAAAGTGTGATTGTGTGTGATTCTTCCCCATCCAGCCCATGCACATTTGGGTCAAATTCCATGGTAACCCGGTGAACTCCACAGCTTGACGATAGGTGTTGACGCATCTCCAGAAAAGTGCCATGGCATGCCATGGTCAGTTGGATTGCATATATCATCATTGTTTGAGGGATTTGTATAGGTAGCCACTTTTCAAAGGATTCCCATTATGGGATCGATGGCAGTAACCCATATGTGCCATCCAGTCTCACACACTGGAGACACATCCTAAATATATGTATGTAATATAACTTAACATATATAGTCATCCTGGAGAAGAATGTGGAAATTTCAAGAGACCCTCACTGAAATGGGAATATGAGTGAAACTTATCGTTTCCATCTACTTCCGGAGGAATTTTTTTAATGTGGCAGGTTGCGCCCGAAATCAGGTGCGTGGCTGGAAGAAGGTGCTGCTGGGACAGCTGGGACGGGTAAATGGGCCTACTGGTACCGACTGACCCAAAACAGTTGAAATGGGCAATTTATTTGTCCAAGACTCCAAGACATGAACAATTCAATGGATATTCGATTAAGATCAAGACATGTTGATTCAAGATTGAGACAGATTGTGAATATAGGGCCATGACAAATTTCAAATGCCAGAAAACATATGTCTCACAAACACAAAATTAGTAAACTGACCTACCAACGAATAAAAATCTACTGAACCGCGAAAATGGACCCTTTCATCCAGACATCTTGATTCACAGGGGACCAGGGACGATTTGTTGAACACCCCAACTATCAGGGTGCGGCTGGGGCGCGGCTGGGCCATGTTTGATGGGGCCCCCCGGTGTCATCAAACATGGCAATGGAAAATTCCTCATACCCTCTGGTAAACTAACGTAACTATGGAACATCACCATTTTCAATGGGTAAATCCACTATTTCAATGGCCATTTTCAATAGCTTTTTGTATGTTTACCAGAGGGTAAATGGAGGTGTTGATGGAGGTGTTGATCTACAAATGGATGTTCCATTGCCAAGTTTGGTTCATGAAAGGCGTTTGTTTGACTGCAATCTGAACTGAAATTCCTGGTGGCTAGTTCCTCATGAGACTCACCCTATTGTGGGTCATATCCCCAGGAAAAAAAAACGTGTGTTTGGTTATATGTCCACTGATATCATTGGGTGACATGTCCATATATACATATGATATATATATATATATATAAATATATATATATATATGTAATTATGTGTATATATATATGTAATCATATGTACGTGTATATATAATTATATATATATATATGTAATAGTGTGTATATATATACATACATATATGTAATTATGTGTATATATATGTATATACCTATATGTATATATATATATAATCCCAGACATCATTATACATATCCTTGTTATATCATATCTCCAGAAACTCTTTGGTGTTGGCCCCATAATCACAAACCCAAATGGAAAAGTCGTGGGTCGACTACGACCCATACGACCCATGATACACTACAGATATACAGATTACCCTCTGGTAAACTAACATAGCCATGGAACATCACCATTTTTAATAGGTAAACCATCTATAAATGGGCCATGTTCCATGGCTATGTTAAATAACCAGAGGGTATATCTGATGATCATATCATACTTACATAGACTATTACTCGTTGTGCATCCGGAAGTTTCACCCAATGAAAGTTTCAGGTTTACACTCAGGATTATTTTCAGTGATCATTGTTTTGCATTACTACATGTTTTTTTGTGCTACTGCCAGATTTCAACCTGTTAAACATTTCAGGGATTGCATTGTGATCATTAAGCCCATTAATCATAGATATATACTAAGCATAAACCTTATATAGTTAATTCACCAAGGGAACTGTCAACTTAGCTATCTAGCGTTTTAAATCATGTTATAAATCACCATTCAGTCTTGATCAATAATTCCCAGCTGTTGGTCAGTTTCTGTCCCCAGCTGTTCCCATGTTAAATCACCATACCCTTTGATAAACGTTCACACTTTGCGAACTGGAAAAGAACCATGTTTAAGTTCCGTAAATCAAGTAGTTCTTTAGAAATTAAGAGGTATAAATCAGGTATTTCTATGATTTTCTATGTGCTATGGCTTCAATAACAAAGTTTTTTTGTCATGACCAGAGTTAGTTCGACATGGCCAGTCATGGCCTCAGCGCGTGTCAGGTCTTTGAAGTCTTCGATGCATCGCTGGCGGTGTCCACACGTTGTGCGGTGCCTTGGCGGCCGGTTCCATAAATGGAGGTACCCCCCATCTACAAATGGAGGATGAAATGGGGTACCCCCATTTTGGGAAACCTCCATGTATTTATATATATATATATATTATATAGATAATGATAATATAGTTATATATAATATATATAACAAAATAAAATAATATATATATATATATTATATTATATATATAGATAGATATGTTCATAAAGCTGGAAGCCGGGCTCAGGAAGACGCGGGAGCCACGGCCTCGGAAGCGATCCAGGCAGCAGAGAGGCGGTCCTCTGTTCGAAGGACTCTCCATTTTTGTGTGAAAAAAAATGAGGAAATCCACCATTTTTCATGGGAAAACCCACCATTTTTCATGGGAAATCACGATTTTTCATGGGAAAATCACAATTTTTCATGGGAAAATCCACTATTTTTCATGGGAAAACCCACCATTTTTCATGGGAAAACCTACAATTTTATAGCGGAAAATCACAATTTTTCATGGGAAAATCCACAATTTTTCTTGGGAAAACCCACCATTTTTCATGGGAAAATCCACCATTTTTCATGGGAAATCACAATTTTTCATGAGAAAATCACAATTTTTCATGGGAAAATCCACCATTTTTCATGGGAAAACCCACCATTTTTCATGGGAAAACCTACAATTTTATAGCGGAAAATCACAATTTTTCATGGGAAAATCCACAATTTTTCATGGGAAAACCTACCATTTTATAGCGGAAAATCACAATTTTTCATGGGAAAATCCACAATTTTTCTTGGGAAAACCCACAATTTTTCATGGGAAAATCCACCATTTTTCATGGGAAAATCACAATTTTTCATGGGAAAACCCACAATTTTTCATGGGAAATCATAATTTTTCATGGGAAAATCACAATTTTTCATGGGAAAATCCACCATTGTTCATGGGAAAACCCACCATTTTTCATGGGAAAATCACAATTTTTCATGGGAAAACCCACCATTTTTCATGGGAAATCACAATTTTTCATGGGAAAATCACAATTTTTCATGGGAAAATCGACAATTTTTCATGGGAAAACCCACAATTTTTCATGGGAAAACCTACAATTTTATAGCGGAAAATCACAATTTTTCATGGGAAAATCCACAATTTTTCTTGGGAAAACCCACCATTTTTCATGGGAAAATCCAACATTTTTCATGGGAAAATCACAATTTTTCATGGGAAAACCCACAATTTTCATGGGAAAATCCACCATTTTTCATGGGAAAATCCACCATTTTTCATGGGAAAATCCACCATTTTATAGCGGAAAATACACCATTTTACATGGGAAAATCAACCATTTTATAGCTGGGAAAATCCACTATTTCTATGGTGATTTTCCATAGTTATGTTAGTCATTACCAGAGGGATACCATATGGGATATCTGAAAGTTATTCCAAAACATTGGCATTTTTTGCCATTGTTTATAGGCATGATTCTTAAGTTAGCATTTGGGGAACGCCTATTTGCTAACATTGCCATATTTTTGGGCGGTTGCGACCAGCAGTGAGCCCCAACCCCAAAGTTGGGGGCACGATACTACTGGACCCGACTGGACCCGGTATCGGACCGAGGTATGGGACCTGTGCGACATTGGACATATCATTCTGAACCCTATCATACGAAAGCCGTAAAACCCTAAAATCTTAAACCCTCTACCCTAAACTCCAAAAACATCAAAAGATAATGAGAAAATCAAGGAAAAATCCTGAACGCAAAACAGCTAAAGGCTAGAACCCTACTTCTTAAACCATAAAACCTTAAACCCAAAAGTGATGTTGGGTGAACGAGGTGTTTGCGCGTACATACCTAACAGCTTGCAAACTGGAAATCAACAGCTTCCATAGCAAACTCATACATCACCAGAGGGTAGTCGTGATATGATCGGAGTTCAATCATGGACATGGACGTGATATGACTCAAAAGGAACCGTACATTTTCCATCATGTTGAGGCCGTGAGGCCCATCCAATTTTAGGTCGCAACAGGTGTTGAGTCTCCGAAAACGTGGCTGAAGATAGAGATAGGGAATCAGCTGGACTCTGTGGATTGATGTCGAATTTTAGCGCATGGGGAACTCATAATGAAATAGTGAGTATAGTAAATAGTATACTGGTTGGTGCTTTGGAACATGGCTTTTATGACTGTCCCATCATATTGGGAATGTCATCATCCCAACTGACTTTCACTCCATCATTTTTCAGAGGGGTAGGTTGAAACCACCAACCAGTATATGGATGACTGGCTTCGTCTAAAACTACATCATGGGTCTGGCTTGATTTCGCCTCACCAAATGGTTGGAGTCGAGTCGTCCCCAAAACTTGTTGTGGGGCCATTTCTTTTTTCGTGGACTCTAAGTTGGTTAACCCAGATGCTCCATGGTGCTGGAATATTTACCTACATTTGGGCTATTTTTGGGTTAATGTATGTAAATATTCCATATATGGAGCATCTCGGTAACATAACTCCAATTTCACTATGGCCACTACGAATGTTTATGATACGTATAAGGTATTCATAACCTAATTCATGGGGTCAAAATAGGCATCACTCAAAAGGATGACTTGTAGATATGACTTATTGTTCTTGGAGGTGTCATAAGGTGTTTGTCCAAAAATGACATGTATTTGTTTGGGAGGGCTGAAACTAGTTATCATTATCAATGTTGCTATGGTTTTGGGTCAACCTCTTGAAGCCTAATATAGCCTAATATCCTAAAAAGGGCGGCTAAGCTCACTGGATTGCAAAACGTGCCAAATCTGTGTTTTCAAATCATAACATGATTTTAAATGACTTGACCCATATCCATTTTGGTTTGTTTGAACATTGGGGGCAACATTTTATGTGAATGTTGTTGTTTTCTCAATGAATATGTCGGTTTTAGATGGTTTTTAGATTGTTTTTAGATGGCTTTTGAGGGTTTTTAGAGATGGTTTTGGTATAGATGGGTTAGGCTATTCCCACGTTTGGCAAGACACCCCAAATTGATTCACCACGCTGTGCCACTCGAAGTCTTCATATCCAACTTAGGACCCCACCTGAGGAGTGTGGCATTGTCATAATCATTAATCTGGGTAAATTATAACGACCTCACTGTTCTCCCTCACTGGAAATCATGGTTGATGTTAGGGAAATCATCCCCAAATGGCCGAACTATTCAGGTTAGTGAAATATTATAATTTACCCAGATTAAGAATCCATGAGCTGAGAATCCCGTTCTTGACCAGGTAGTATATAAAAATGGGATTAAATGGAACTGCAGATTTTGAACACTGCTGAACTGAAAAAAAATCAGGCGCGGGAAGAGAATTTGGGTGCTGGGCCAGTCCCTGATGTCGATCTGCAGGCTCTTGAAGGCCCTGATGCCGCATGGAATCTGGGTCATTCTGTCGCCGCTTGGCAACAAAGCTGCCTGAAAACTGGGGGGGCGATGCACCGGAACCCATTCCTGGTTGGTGGTTTGGTAATAATGATCCCAACTGACTTTCATAATTTTCTGAGGGGTATATAGGTATACCACCAACCAGATTCTGTCGGCCGACTGCGGTTTCAATCGACACAGGTCGGACAGTGACGAGAGTTTCCAGCTCGCAAGGACTCGGAAAAAAAAAAACGACGTGGGATTTGAGCCAAACAACAAACAAATTTGGGATTTTTTCAGCTTCCAAAAACAGGGATTTCACCAACTATGTTTTTTTGGATATCATGGGGACACAATGGAATTATAACATAAGCAATTATTATATGTAATATATGGGTTTGTGCAATTTTGTGCAAAGAGATTGGGTATACCGACAGTTTATCATAATTTCCCATCATCAATTGCCATTTTGGGCATAACCAACTTCCGACCAACCCAAATGCGAGAGAATCATGGAGAATCCACTTGTCAAATAGTTTTTGTAATGATCAAATGGTGCTTGCAGGAACAACTTTTAAAGGGATAGAACCAACAACAAAGATATGATATGGCAGTTTTAATCAAAAAGGGAAGATCAGCAGCATTCCGGTTGGTGAGTACTGGAGTCATTGATAGTCATTGTCATTGGATTAAATGCTAATAACACCCAATAACTAATGATTGGTAGATCATTCAATAGAAATGACTAATACCTCATTACTACTGATTGTCATTGGATTAAAAATTGAGCGCTGGTGATTTCACAGTTCACGGTCAGCTTGTGGATCCAATAGACACGGGCCTTCCCAGGGGGGTGATGGCGCCCCAGAGATGCACCAAGAGTTCTTGGCCAAGTTCTAGTATTGAACCATCAGTCATTGCACATATAATTCGCATAGAATTGGATGATGGGAACATTTTAGCCGGAAAGCCCTATATTTGATGGTAAAAACCCATGGGTTTCCGGTTAAGATTTTCCCTTAAACCAATCCAATGAAATTCTTAGTAGCCCCAGATGACATCGTAATGCTGAGTCTTGCGTGTCGAAACGCGCTGCTGAATCAAATGGATGATCAGACAGAGAGCTGCTGCGCAGGTTTGGGACTTGAAGTTGAACATCAGATGGGAGTCAACCACCACACAATTCTGGGTCCTTGGTGAAGGGTAGACAAAAAACTGGTTGGTGGTTTGGAACATTTTTCATTTTTCCATATATCGGGAATGTCATCATCCCAACTGACTAATATTTTTCGGAGGGGTAGGGCTCAACCACCAACCAGAAAAGATTGACGTTTCTTGAGAGTTTCATGGGGTATTTCCTAAACTGAGCCACGACTGGAAGACTTTTTTTGGGTCACGTGAAAGCCCTGTGAACCCCAACATAGGCATGGCTAGATGTTGATCCACCCACAGGGCCATTTTTGATTGAAGCCATGGAAAATCCCTTATAAATGGAGGTTTCTAGTTGGGAAAATCATCTATAAATGGGCCATCTATACCATGGCTATGTTAAATAACCATATGGTAATTTTGATGGAAATAAAATCCAAGAAATTCACTAACGCGGCAGGCAGTGATGTGACATATGTGACTGCATGGATCATATGTTTATCTATTTACCAGTGATCAAACGTGGCTGGAAACGAACGGATCTCCAGGGAATCGAACGCCGAACGGCAGGACTTTGGCGGATGCCAACCCTGTCGGTTTGGGCTTGGCTTTGCGCATCGAGAAGGTGGATTGGAGGCTGGAGAAACTGCTGGAAAATGAAGGAAGGTGGAGGAAAATGGTGAAACATGCAGAAAATAGGGATTTACTGTAACTTAACATAGGAAAAAAGGGTATTGATAGTTGGAGCATCTATTTTGTTGGGTACCAAGACACTTAATGTATCCATAAAGACATGAGTTTTAACGTAGTTTAGCATTATCCCTAGCTGTGAGGGTCAGATTGAAAATGTTTTTATTATTATTATTATTATTATTTTGCAATTATTGGTGAGTATGTGGTATTTTTGTCGCTTGTTTTTGTTTCCGAGACATGATTAAAACATGTTAAACCAACTATTTCATGAACAATCATGGAACCTACTGATCTTTACAGCACTGGTCCCCTTTGAAGAAGCCGGGTGAGAACTGAACCCCACTTTCTTGGTGACACGGAATCTGTCATCCCCATATAGTAGTGGTTTATGATGATGGGTATACTGGGTACTGGGTACCCTCTGGTAAACGTTTACAAAAAACTATGGAACATTACCATGTTATAGCTGGGTAAATCCACTATTTCGACTGGGCCATGGCTGAAAAATAGCTATGTTTGTATGTTTACCAGGCCGGGTAAACATCAATTCTTGGGATGATGAACTTCATCGTCCCTTTTATGGTTGACAATGATGGATCGCACATTAGATTGATGGGTTATGAATCTCCATCAACCATAACATGGAATTTTAAGCATTCCATTGATGGATCATATGCTATTGCCTATTGTGGAGAACTGGTCAACCATCGGTTCCTACTACTTCCTACTAGCAGTTCGAAGCAGTTATGATGCTAGGTATGATACATTATTGTTTTTTTCTATGCAAATGATACCCTGGTTGGTGGTTTGGAACATTTTTTATTTTTCCATAGCTTGGGAATAATAACCCCAACTGACTTTCATATTTTTTCAGAGGGGTAGGGCTCAACCACCAACCAGTACCAGTTATCACCCATGTTTGTTTGTTTTTTTCAAAGGTATGCTGATCCCCCATTGCGTGTTGCGCCTTTTGCCTTGCGCTTTTTCCCACCAGGACGGGACAAAAACCCTGTTCCATGTTGGAGAGCCAAGCGCAGGCGGACGGCAGTCATCCTTTTTCGTCGTCATGAAGTTATCGTCATCATCACAAACCAATATCTGGTTGGCGGTTTGGAACATGATTTTTATGACTTTCCATTTATTGGGAATGTCATCATCCCAACTGACTAATATTTTTCAGAGGTCTCGGCTCAGGATACCTTCCAGCCTTTAGGTGGGACTGACCCAGCAAAGTTCCTGAGGTTTTGTCTTGACTTGTAGTCACCATGCGGTTGTTTGACTGGGATGGCTTGGCGGTTGGTGAACGAATATCAGTGGTCCTTTCAATGGTCTGTTTCGATGATAGTCCGAATCAAAGACATTTGGCATTTTCATTGGATAGACGGGGCTTGAAGATTGGGATAACAGGTAAACTTCCAATTGGTAGTGTGTTGTCAGGGATTGATCTTGTGGTGACAGCTGTTTACCCCCTACAACTTACTGTAGATCCTTTGTCGGTGGTGGTCCCAGTTCCGGTGTGTCATCAGCAGGAGGTTTTTCATGTCTTGGACTTCTGTGCGGGCCTGGGGGGTCTAACTGTTGGACTTACCGAATTGGGTTTCAAAGTTGTTGCAGCTGTGGATGAAAACAAGTCTTGGGTGCCTCTGTATCACTCCCTTCATGACACAGGCGTGCAATACTATGTGGGTGACATGGCTAGCACAGACGTGCTCACGAAGTTGATGATTGATGGATTTTTTCATGGCACGATTACTGCTGGAGTGAATTGCCAGCCCCACTCACTGCTGGGGGACCGTAAGGGCATGCAAGATGAGAGAGCAGTATCGTTGCCGAAAGCCCTGCATTGTGCATGGATGCTTCAAGCAGCCATCTTGATTGTCGAATGTGTGCCGTCAGTGCTTGGTGACCCGGCAGCTCAGGATGTCATCAGACGTTTTGCAGTGGCCACTGGCTACAGGGTTTCTCAGACCATTGTGAAGCTTGGGAACGCATGGGTGTGTAAAAGGGATAGATGGATTGCTGTTTTTTCTGCACCCCCGGTTGGGCTGATTGATGTGCCTGATTTGCCTTTTTATGATGACTACCAGGTGGTGCAAGATGTCATGCCCCGCTTGATGCCTTGGCCAGAAACCGACATGCAACAGTTGCGCCTGAACTTGTATGAGCTTGCCAAGTTTCATGAGTTTGCGGTTGGGGGCGTGGAAGCACTGTACTTTGATGTCTCGGGCAAGTGTCCAACACTGCTTCATAGTGCTGGCAACCAACTGTATGCTTGTCAGTGTGGCTGTCGTGGTCCTTTGTCCCTGCAGCGTCTCAGCACAAAGGGTTTGGTCGGTGTCTTGGTCCCCTTAGGCACAAGTCAGATTCATTGCAACAAGGTGATGGAACACTGCAGGTACCTTCATCCAGAAGAAATGTGGGTTTTGATGGGGGGCATGCCGGAACAGCGGTGGGGGGCAAACCTTAGACTGGCCATGGCAGGAATTGGTCAGGCTGTCTCCCCTGTAGTTGGACTTTGGATTTTTGCCCATGTCAAGCGGCAGTTGGAATCTTTCCTAGGGTTTGCTTCGCAATGCAAGCCGAAGCAGGTTTTGGACTTGTACCTGCAACAACTGAGTGCTAGGTGTGGTGCTCTCTGGATTCCTGAGATTCCCCCGACTGTTCCCTGTCATGAGGTGGATGCGTCTGGTGATGAAAGGGTACATGCTCAGCTGCAGTTGGCTTTTCCGTCCCTTGGGGTGTCCTATCAGCATGTGGCATTTGTACGGGGTTTGACTGGCCGCCAGCTTTTGGAGGCTGAAGCAGCTTTGGACACAGAGCGGAAGACTTGGATTTTGAGGGTTGATGGACTTGATTTTGACTTGGATTTGCCGTTGCCAGACGATGCCAAGTTTCAGGTTGTGCCCGTTGATTGGACTGATGCGCATGCTCAAGGCAGCACCATTGTGCCTTGTTGTTTGACCTTGACTGAGGTGAGGGCAGCACAAAAGGGTATGGGAGTACAGGGGGATGATCCAACCACGCTTCAGGGTATTGGACGTATCCGAGCTGTCACCATGTCCATTCATGACAGGCAGGCCATTTTGGCCCAACAAGGACCAGTGTGGGGTGACGATGAACTTTTGTTTGGACTGACGCGTATTGCACTGGTAACTGATGATGACCAATTTGTCCAGGTGTGGGACCCTCTGTTGCTTAGCAATTTGCTGGTTTTGCCCGACTCTCCTGAATGGAAAAGCCTTGTTGGTGCCCTCACACCAGTTGCTACCGTCATCTCTGCTGTCTTGGTTGGTGTTCACTGGGTCCCGGTGGTTTTTCGGATTGACTCTGTCGGTGCGAAGTTGTTTACCACACAGGTACCAGCAGAATACTCCCAGCTTTTTGAGGGTCTGTGTCATGTCATTGGTCGCTTCAGCAATGGACTTTCAGGGGCTTGGACTTCGCATGCCATCCCGTTTCTGCCGACTGAACACTGTGGTGCTCTTGTCTTGTGCTTTGTGCGTCACCTTCTGTGGGGAGAGTCTCTGCCTACCACTTGCGTCCTCTCAGACTTTGCCTGCAGATCACGTCTTGAGTTTGTCCAAGAGATGCAAGAACAGTGTCTTCGCCCGATGTTAGCTGGACTTGGAGTCACCGAACTTGAGCAACTAGCCGATATGTTGGCCAAGCATGGAGTGCCGAGTGAAGAAAAACAAGCACGAGCCCAGCATGTCATGCAGATGCTAGGAAAGGAGCAGGTGGTCAAAGCAATGCAGTCTTCCAACCCATGGAAGGAATTGAAATGGCTTGCAAACCAATCCAGGCCACCCTTGCAATTGATCAAACCGTCTGAATTGAGGATGGTGGTGGAGAAGAGACAGGCAGAACAACCTGTTGGTGCCAAACGTCACAAGGTGCCAAAAGGTAAGGGCAAAGGTGCTAGGTTGCAGCCGATCAGGATCGATCCAGATGCCCTTCGACTCGAAGCTGGAATTTTCCAGACACAGGCAGGAGTTCCTCTCAGCCAAGTCAGTTTGGTGCAACTAGGACCAGCAGTCTCTGGGGTTGCTATCGTGTCTAAGGAAACAGCCAGACCTTACTTGCAAGCGGCGCATCCGGTGTCCAGTGGTGCCTTGGCCTTGTTTGTTGTCGATGGTGACGAGTTTCCTGCGTCGCAATTTGCGGTCACCAAAGAACGGGTTCCCTTAGTGTGTGCCTCCAATGCCGAACCGGTTTTGCTTGATGGACTGTTGGTTCAGGTGGGAGGGTTGCAGGTTGTGCGTGCTCCAGCAGCAGTCAAGTGTGCTGTCCAAGCTGTCGCCACATGTGTTGTCAAGGTTATGGTGTACAAGGATATGACTGTGGAATCATGGGTGCATGTGTGTGCCCATCCGGTGCGTCATGTCTTTTCTAAGTTGCCACGACTTCAGCCATGTGAGGACTCTGAGTGTCTAGGATGTGAGTCATGGCATCGCTCTGAGCTTTTTCCTTTGGACACGCCAGTGATTGAAATCTGGGGAAAGCAGTGGCTCAAGCTGAACTATGCCAGTGCAGCTCCTCCACAGGCTGACATTTTTGCCGTCAATTTCCGTTTGCCAGAGATTTTGCAGCAGGTCATCCAAGAATTCTCAGGCTATGGAGGGGTGTTTGTGGAGCCGAAATCGGTTGATGGGAGAAGCCCTTCTGAAGAGTACCAAGTGGTTTGGCTGGCAAAGTCAGGCATTGCCCAGCTCACACTGCAAAGACAAACCATTGCAGAAGTTTGTGGACTGGCACGAATGGGATCCAAATTGGGGTTGCGGTGTCGTGTGCAAGATGCTGCCAAGGTGTTTGCACTGTTGAAGCCAGGCCAACATACCTGCCCCAGGGTAAGAAGCAAACCTATGTCTGTGGCCCCTTCCCTTTTGGTACTTTGCGCAGTTCGGTCTCCACAGCTTTGGCAGAAGGGGGGTGGACTGCTCGGGTCTTTCAACCAGTTGCAGCAAAAAGTCATGTGCAGGGCCTTATGTACAAAGTGCATGCAGTTACCGGCCCACCAGCTAAAGTCATGCACATGGCACATGGCGATGTGGTGATTGCAAAGGAGGAGGATGAAGAGCTTCCTGTGCAAGAGCGACCTAAGATGGTGGCGACCCCTGCCACAGAAAGCTTTGTAGCAAAGGATGGGGAGATTGACATGGTCCACTTGCAGGATCCGTGGGCCAGAGCTGCTCAAAAGTTGCCGAAGGTCAACCCAGTCACAGCAACCATAGGGAACCCAATGGAGGACATGGAGCAGAAGGTGGTAGCGGCAGTCCTAGCCCAACTACCGAAGCAACCGATGGATGTTGACAGTGAGCAAGCAGGCCAGCGAGTGGCCCAGTTGGAACAGCAGGTTGCTGAGCTGCAGAGCCATACCCAGGCGCTGGGGCAGACTGTTCAAAACACAGCAATTGAACAGGCAGCACAGATCCAGGAAGTCCGCACTCAGGTTCAACAACAAGGAGTTCATCTGGAAGCAGCCATTGCGGCTCAGGCAGCCCAGATTCAGGGATTCCAAGATCAGTTCCAAGAACAATTCAAGCAGCAAGTGACACATCAGCAGACAATGCTTGATAGCATGTTTTCCAAGCAGATGTCCCAGTTTGAAGGTCTCCTGATGAAGCGCCAGCGCCAAGAGTGATGGTGCCCAGTTGTCGGTCTTGCCCCTTGCGGCAATTGGGTAGAGCAAACTAGGGGTTTTGGACGGTGTCTCCGTCTTTGGTGGTGTGCTGTTTGCCTCCTTGTCTGGGGAATTTTGTGCAGCATTTTGGATTTTGGCCAGACCTGTGGACTTTTGATTTTGGATTTCGGCCCTGATTATGGTAATGAACTGTCTGTGCAGCAACAGCATGTCAGCCGTAGTCGTGGGTGGATTTGGACTTGTGCCACGATGCGGGGGGTATCTTGGCGTTCACTGATGGTGCGTGCACCTTTTTTGCGGTGGTTTTGGGTCTTGGTCTGCTTTGGACTTGTACGAGTTGGTGAGGCGAGTCATCCTGGTCCCTCAGGCACTTGGACTTTTGGGGTGGCCAATCCGTCTGGGCTCAATCATAAGCTTGATCACATCGCTCATCTGGAGGGTGATGTGTGGTTGATGTCGGAGACCCAACTTAGTCAGCGGGGGTTGTCTGGATTCTGTAAGGGGCTCAAAACTGTCAAAGCACCATGGAATGCAGTCCCAGGGGCCCCATGCCCAGTGAGAGGGTCCACTGAAACAGGAAGCCACTCTGGTGTCATGATGCTGTCGCGTTTTCCAGCACGCCCTTTACCTCATTCTTTTGGGGAAGCCTATGACTCAGCACGACTTCAAGTTGCTGGTTTCGTGGTGGGGCAGGTTTGGGTCACTGCAGGGATTTTGTATGGGCTTCCATGTAATGCCACGCATGTTCAAGCCAAGTTTCAAACTGACTCACTTCTTGCGGAGCTGGTGGATAGGGTGGCATGTTGCGGCCATGGATTTCGTGCCATAGGGGGAGACTTCAACTATGACACACATGAACTCACACAACTGAAAAGGCTGCAAGAAATGGGTTTTCGTGAAGTGCAGGACCTGTCTGCCTATCGTTTTGGAACCAGTGTTTTGCCAACAGGGAGGGGCAAGCGTCGTATCGATCATCTTTGGATTTCACCAGAGCTGCAGCAGTTGTTTGTTGGGCTTCAAATGCGGTCTGACCTTTGGGCTGATCACGTGGCTGTGGAAGGGGTTTTTGCGCAAATTGGGGCTTCACCGACCATTGATGGGTGGCACATGCCGCAGCCTTTTCCGTGGCCTGCTCAATGGACTTGCCAGGTGGACTTTGATGTCAGTGTGGACTCGTCGGTGGCATATGCAACAATGTGGCACCAGTTGGAGGGTCAGGCCAAGTGGTGGGTGGGTCAGCAAGGTAGGGTTGTTTCGGCCAACCAATGTGGACGTGGTCAAACTGTTACCACTGCCCCCCGCCATGTTTACACGTGTCCGGGAAAAAAGGCCAGAAAAGGTGATGTGCAACCAACTTTTTTGGGGGTTAGCCTGAGCCATGCGAGGATTTTCCGTCAGCTCCGAAGGTTGCAATCTTTGCATAGGTTGCTGCAGCATGGATGTGACACATGGAATGCTTGTATCAATCGGGATGATACGTGGAAAGCAATTTTGGCGGCAGCTGGGTTCCCCTCTGGATTTGGACTTTGGTGGGGTGATCATGGACTTCAACCATCTTTTGGACTTTGCTTGCCTCGTGTGTGTCCGAGCGTGTCTGAGGTTGGTGGCATGTTTGATAGCTTTCATGCATGGGTGAAGCAATATGAAGCAGGGTTGGCACAATCGCGGTACCACCATGCCAAGCAGCGTCGTGAGTATGATCTCAATTTTGTCTTCAAGGATTGCAAGCCTGATCCCTTGCCAAAAGTTGATACGCTCCTAGATCGGGTTGAGGGCCATATCGAGGAGGTCAGGGAGGAGGACAGTTCTCTTGTTTTGGTGGATCCAATCACAATGTTGCCCGGCGCTCCAGTGGTGGTCAATGGGCGTGCTGTTGATGTCTTGCACCATGAAGCTGATCAGGTCTGGGTCATGTCAGTGGATGGCATTTTGCCAGGGCACACCTTGGTCCAAGAAAAACCGGTGTGCTCTGATCGGGAGATCCTGAAGCGCTTTGCTGAGGTTTGGGAGCCACGATGGCAGAAGCTCTCACATGTTGCAGAAGGTCAATGGACCCAGATAGCAGCCTTCATTGAACGAACTTTTCGTCCAATCAAGTGGGAGCACAAAGCTTGGGATGTTGATCGGTTTTGTCATGCGGTCAGTCATAAAAAGAAGGTGGCAGCAAAAGGCCCTGATGGGGTGAGTCAGCCAGATTTGGCAGCTCTGCCAAAGGGTGGTTGTGAGGCTCATGTCAAGTTTTTCCAGTCGGTAGAGCAGGGTCAGGCATGGCCAATTCAAGTAGCCACTGGCTTTGTCACGAGTTTGGCCAAACACTTGCAAGCACAGGCAGTCGACCAATTCCGTCCAGTCACAGTCTACAGTCTTGTGTACCGTCTTTGGTCCTCCGAACGGGCTAAGGAAGCTTTGAGGTCAGTGGCAAAGGTGGTTCCAGGGAGTGTCCAAGGGGGTCTTCCGAGGCGCCAGGCTAAAGCTATATGGTATGAGGTGGCTCAGGCTTTGGAAACTGCCTATGTGGACAATGAGCCGTTGCATGGAATCATGTTGGACTTGACGAAAGCTTTTAACATGTTGCCGCGGTTTCCACTGTGGGTGGCCTTGCGTGCGTTGGATTTTCCGAAGGGGGTCTTGCGAGCGTGGGTTGGTTTTGTCTCTGGCCAAGCACGACGTTTCAGAGTGAGGCAGTCTGTTGGTGAGGGGCTGCAGTCCTGTCGAGGTCTTCCAGAGGGGTGTGCACTTTCGGTGTTTGGAATGGTCATCGTGGACTGGTTGCTGGATGAGTGGCTGCAGCAGCTAAGTGTTTCGGTGGACTTGCAAGCTTTTGTGGATGATTGGGGTGTGCTGTTCCGTGATGCTGATACGTTTCATGTGGTCTGGCGTGCCATTTTGGATTTCACGCAGCTCATGGACTTAACCTTGGACATGGCCAAATCCAAACTGTGGAGTACTCATGCTGCTGCCAGGGGCCAGTTTAGGGAAACAGCTCTGCATGTCGCATATACCGCCCGAAACTTAGGTGCACACCAAAACTTCACAAGACACTGTTGGAATAGTGTTTTGCAGTCCAGGTTGAAACAGATGCCTGAAGTATGGTCTCGATTGCGAGCCAGCCTGAGCCCATATCGTGCGAAAGTACGAGCTTTAGCTATGCTGGGGTGGCCGCGAGCGTTGCATGGGATCTCAGTTGTTCACCTTGGTCACAGCCATTATAAGGTGCTGCGCACCGGAGCCATGCGGAGCTTGAGGGCAGAGAGGAAAGGAGCCAATCCGGTGTTGCACTTGTCCACAAATGGCATGCATGTTGATCCGGAAGGTTGGACAATTTTGCAGACTTTACGGGATGTCCGAGAGCTTGGAGGGTATGAAAAAATGGAGCGTCTCCTGTCTCTTTTTGCCTCGCGTGATGTGGACTTACCAAAAAATGGCCCCACAGCTGTGTTGTTGACACGTCTGGAGCGCCTTGGTTGTGCTGTTAACACCAATGGGCTCGTCCAGGACCGTTTTGGGTCTTTCAACCTTTTGGGACTGAGTTGGGATGAGTTGCTCTTGCGGGTGCGCATGTCTTGGGGGGTTGTCTTGCAGCAAGAAGTTGGTCACCGTGCTTCGTTCCAGGGCATTGACATGGTGGACCTAGGTGAGTTACAGCTTTCTTTGCGGCAGTTTGGTCAAATGGACTTGGTTTATCTGCGTTGTCATTTGGATGGCACTTTGTACACACAAAACGGTAGGGCCAAGTTTGAATCCAATACCTCTGATAGGTGCCCCTGGTGCGGTGAGAAAGATGGGTTTTATCACAGAGCTTGGAAGTGTCCTCACTTCGCTGATTGCCGGAGTCACCTCACTGCGGAACAACTGGACTTAGTTCCCTCTCTTCCACTTTGCTTGTCTGCGCATGGATGGCCAGTCATGTTGCCGGAATGGGAAGTGTTTTCTGGTTGGTTGTTAGGGGGTCATGGACTTAAACAGCTGTCATCATTTGAGCTCCCTAAGATAACACATGATCGGTTGGTTGATGTGTTTGTTGACGGTACAGCAGCTCACCCAAAAGAGGCAAAGTTGCGTTATGCAGCATGGGCAATCACGTGCGTCCCGGGTGGTCCGGGGTCTCTGGACAATCAGGTGGTAGCTGGAGGACATGTGGAGGGGCTGATCCAGTCACCATACCGAGCAGAGTTGACAGCGATGCTTGAGGCACTCCGTTGGGCAACCCGGCAGAATGTACGGGTGCGCATATGGTGTGACTGTCAAGGTGTTTGTCAGGGGGTGCGGCGATTGCAAAGAGGTGGCGTTGTCAAGGTGAATGGACCTCACTCAGACCTCTGGCAAGAGATTGCTCAGTTGCTTGCAGACCGGGAGAAGGAGGATGTAGTGGTCTGTAAGGTGGTGTCTCATGGTGATTACCAACAAGCCACTTCACCATTGGAGGAATGGGTGTATTGGCACAATGCACTCACCGATCATGCAGTTAACAAGATCAATGAGCTTCGACCGCAAGGTTTTTGGGTAGCATGGAATGGATTGGCCAAGGCACTTGAGCAACACCGGAAGTTGCACTTGGCTATACTTTTTACGTTACTGAAGTCTGGTCGCAAAGCTCACAGAGAGCAGCAGGTGGTTCCCAAAGTACCGGTGGTTCCAGTTCGACGGGAGGTAAAAATGCCGGTGCCGCCTTCTTGTTGGACACTGGGTGACAAGACCGTCAAGAGGTATGGTCGAGGGAATGCACAAGCCTTTCACCAATGGTGGACTGCGGTTGGAAACTCCATGCTTCAATCGGAACATCAGCTGGTTTGGATTTCAGGGGTACAATTGTTTGCTGCTTTTAACTTGGCAACTGCATATGTAGGACCTTTTGTTTGGCGGAAACGATGGTACTCTGTAGGAGATGACATACCTGACCAGGCGCGAGTTTCGTGGGGCTCCAGGGTCAAACCTTTTCTTCTCATGATGCGCTCGTACTTAGCACAGCAAGGAGTCAAACTTTGCCAGAAACTGACCAAACCGCGATCAGCAGCGGTTTCCAGATGGGTTGTCAGCTACCGTTTGCGTTGGCATGATGCTTTGGTCGACCAAGTCGACGATGCACTGTTTCACCTCAAAGGGCGCCAGCTGGTCACTGCATCAGACCTGGCTGATTTGAGACCTCCAAGGACGGGGTAGGCGTGGACCGAGCGAAGGGACTCAGGGTCGTCTTCTGCCCTGGGACTCTACAATAAACCGCAATAAACCGTAATATTTTTCAGAGGGGTTGAAACCACCAACCAGTTATCTAAGATAGCCGCAACTACTATTTTAGATATATACAAAACACATGTTCACGAGTACCCTTGAGGGATGTCGACACCTGAGCAGGTCTGCTTTCTGCACTGCGGTTTCAACTCTCAGGTGTGGTGGTGGAATGGCTTTCCATGGAATATATATATATATATAAATATCCCATAGGATCCATGTATGCTATATATGGTAACATTCACCATCAATACACATGTTAGCATATATACCATACATGGATCCTATGGGTATATTTTTTTTGCCAAGACGTGTAGATCTGTGATTTCTTTGTGTTCTTTCAATGTTGACGTCCTGTTTTTTTTGGCGTACAACATCCATATGCTGTATACAATTACATAGAAAAAAACATTGTTCCACGGGGATGGAAAGCTATTTATGGATGTATGGAAAACAAACTTAGATGTGTCAACACACTAATTTTCCAATGCTTTCCATGTGTTTGCGTGATAAACGTCCCTGAACTCCAGTTTTGCGTTAGTCTGAACGGTCTTAACGTCCGCACACTGGGTTTTGACGTCCGCTGTGCCAGAGAATTGGGGCCATCTCAGGCCATGGGGTTCATCCGAACGCGGCTGGGAAAAGCACACAGACAGGGGAGATGTTATGATATGTTCCATTGCCATGTTTGATTACCGCAGGGTATTGGTGAAAAAAATCTTTTGGCGGCCTTTGATTGGGCCAGGCTGGATTTGATGCCAACGCGCTGAGGGGCTTGGTCAACAGGACGCTTTCGTTGGTGGTACCTCTGCCACGGAAAATCATAGGAAACAATGGGAAACTATCGGAAAATATGGAACAATCATAGGACAATCATAGAAAATCATGGGAAACTATTTGAAACTATGGGAAATGCTTCAACTGAAGAATATGGGCACCAAAGATCAGAAAATAGTTCAATTGAAGAATGTAGGAACTAAGCGTTAGGAAATTCTTCAACTGAAGATCCTCGAGAGCTCAAGGTTATGAAATAGTAAAACGATTTTCCTATATAACCCATATGCTCCATGTATGGTATATTTACCTACATTCGGGTGATTTTTAGGGCAAATGTTGGTAACTATTCCAGCACCATTGAGCATCTGGGTAACAGGAACTAACGATTCAAATCCTGGCTTTTGGGGCTGATAGATGCTTGATGAGGGTCAACTGCCGAGAAAATCGGGGGGCCCGGGCCCTGTGTCAGCTGCCATGGGAGTTTTTATTGTTTATGACCATTGTTGTCCTGGTGTAATACCACACATGGCTATAGGTACAATAAGATGTGTGCATTTGTTTGCATGTGAAAAGTAATATTTATACATTAATTATATACAATACATAATTGTATATACAAAACATGAGAATACAAACCACACCCGTGGCTTTTTGGACAAGCTTCAGCCTGTGGAATTGGCCGAACTGTGTTTGTTTTGTTTCGTACACCCGTTTAACAAGTGGTCATTTTTCATCAAGTGATGTTGTGGGTACATATTAGAAAAAAAAACATAGCCAACGCAAGAACCCCCTTTAGATACCCATTCAGGGAGGGCGGCCCTTACTGCGTCAGACGCTGAAATCTGACATCCTTGTTTTTTTTTGGATATTGTACTGTTTGGCCATTTTCTCATTGTTTCTATTTTATATTTAGTGTTGGTTGGACAAAGGCTTGTTAAATCCCTGCTCGATGTTTGTGATTGAAATGCATTTGGCAAATCCAACCTGGTTTCCCGTTTCGCAATCCCATGGTTTTTGTGTTTTTTTCGCCTTCCTACCTGTCATCCCTGGAAATACAGGAATTCCATCCTTTACCAAATCATCATCTCTTGGGAAAGTAGGGTACCCCGAAACCCCTATGATTTATCATCATGTCCCCCATTAATGTCAACCCTGGATTAATAAACCCCTAGATTGTTTAATTGGGAAGGTACCATTTAAGTATCATATTATGACTATTGGAGGAGTACCCCCGCTAATTAATAAACCATGGTTTATTAATCCGGGGTTGACATTATGTAATACTGTAATGGCCATCTATTAAGGGTGAATACCATCATTTCTCGACAAATCCCATTGATTCTGGACGCTGCAGGACTGCTGGAAGTTGGTCTCTAGTCATCTTCAAGTATCCTGAGAAGCAGCTGGTGGAGGCAATGGCTACCGGCCCTACCATGGGGGAGTCATCCCATGGATACACCCTTGGACTTAGGTCATGAGAGCATCCTCCCAAGAATACCCGGCCTGGGAAACATAGCTATTATGCTATTGAACATGGCCCAGTCGAAATAGTGGATTTACCCAGCTATAAAATGGTGATTTTCCATAGTTACGTTAGTTTACCAGAGGGTATCCCAAGAATGATGTTTGTCAATATTTATGCTAGAACTCGTCCATCATTGTGGAGCACAAGCGGCGCAGCTGTGGCTCCGACTCTGGAGATCTGTTATTTTTCGTTGCGCGGATTGGTTAATGTCAACCCTGGATTAATAAACCCCTAGGTTGTTTAATTGGGGGGATACCATTTAAGTATCATATTGTGACTATTTGGAGGGTACCCCCACAATTAATAAACCATGGTTTATTAATCCGGAGTTGGCATGATATGGAAATAGTACCAAGAGGGAAAGCCAGTAAACTCGCCCCACTTTTGATTCATTAAGATTTTGGGCCCTATTTGGGCTGCTGTACAATGACCACTGGGGGCGGTTACTGGGCCAACGAAGCACTGGGCTTTCCACATGCGCCTTGCACGTCTCCAGGGGGAGCCGTTCAACGAATTGGAAATGCCACTGGGAACGCCGAAAAGGGCTGTGAACAGCAAAATAAAAGGGAATTTATGGATATCTTATGGATATGGTATTGATATTTTATGGATATTTTTATGGGTGTTTTATGGATATGTCTTATGTTTTTTTTTGGTAGAAGAGGTCTTGATCCACCCAATATATTATATAATATATACATATATATATATATGGTTTCATTGTTGAAAGGTTGATCTCTGTAGCTCTGGTTAGTTGGCGCTTGCCACCAAGCAAGTTCAGCTCGTAAGAAATCGCGAAGGTTTGGTTGAAAATTCCCATGTTGCGTTTGGATACATCCCGGGTGCTTGTGAGTTCCCCTTTAAGTTTATCTTTGTATTTTAACACATTTAAAACCCAGATTTCTTATGTGTTGTTTCTTTTTTAAAATCCCTGTTTTCAAGCCACCATGTGCAGTCCATGTTGAAAATTCACCTTCGCCGCTGCGTATCTAAGGCACTTGTCCCAACTCTATGAGGCAGGGGTTGGAGCCTGAATCATCTGGAAATGACGCTTGCTTTACATACTTACATACTTACTTACTTACATACATACATACATGCATGATATTATATATGTGTTTTCTGATGTTCGATGTATGATTCGTACAATCAGCATACAAACCCACGTATATTGGTATGGGTCGATACTAGGAGGACCAAGGATGGTTTTGCATTGTTTGACATACCTGCTCACCAACTCCCTTGGGATATCCATCATTTAGTTCGATGATGTTCTCAGCGAACTACACCTCCATTTAGTTTGGGGATTTTTGATTGCCAAGTTTGAGTACCAGAAAGTAAGTCCAATAGTTCGATAGACCTAGCATAAACCGTTGTTGGAGTTATGTTCACCAACTCAGCATTCACGACCTGCGTTAGCTTAACTATAGGGTTTGTGCTGATTACTGTAGAACTAGGGTGGGTTTATGTGCAAGCAAGTGGTTAAAACTGATTAAACATCATAATAACTGAATATAACAGTCTAACTATAATGAACAACTGATATCATTATAGCTAATTGCTAAATATACCTATTATAACTATAGTTAGACAGTTATTAGTTAAACTAGTTTTTTTTAAGTATGATAACTCTATCTAACTACATCTAACTATAGAATAATTATCTCACTATAGCTTTTTATAAAACAACAAAGATCAACGGTGATTCCTCCAGGCTGCTGCCACGGGCCTCAAGATGAAAAACCTCTTCGAGGTACGCTTAGAAAATAGCTGGAAAGTGTTGTGGAAACCGTGGCTGGAAAATTGGGTCATGTAATAGCTAAATCACCTAATTTTTAAGGTCAATCACTGTTGAATGAGAGGTAAAAGATGGCAAAAGCACCATTTTAGTTCCCTTAGTTAGAAAAAGGTAAATCATCAGAAAATGACGCAAATCCATCAATCCGACCCATCAATTGCTAGTTTACTTCATTGTACGCTTTTACTGACCCAAACATCAAGTTCTCAAAACCCGGATGTTCACCTATTACGAGGGTCATAGTCGAGAATATGTAGCCATGGCTCAGCCCTGCAACCCCCCCTCCACCCCTCATGGTCATGGTCCTGTATGTACGCTGTCGGATATAGTTGACATTTTGCTAGCATATAAATGATCCATGTAGGGTCTACTTTACCCCCGCCCCCCCTGTGGGCTGGGTGGGGGCTAGGTAGTGTGTCACTGGCACAACTAGTGTGTAAGGCAGTAAGTAGGTCATATGTGGCCAGCATGTAAATGATCCATCTAGGGTCTACTTTACCCCCGCCCCCCGTGTGGGATGGGTGTGGTGTTGTAGAGGTATGATGTAGATACTGTAAAGGTCGTATGTGGCTAGCACGTATGTATAGCACATGAAATCTTGATAGTAGCTAGCATATGGCTACTATAAAGGTACTTCATGGGCAGTAATACGTTGTTAATAGAGTGATGGAAGGTGTAGCTTACCCCCCACGCCCCCCCTGTAGGATGGGTGGGGTTTTATAGAGGGATCATGTAGATAGTGTATAGGTAGTATGTGGCTAGCGCGTATGTATAGCACTATAAAGGTACTTTATTTGCAGTAATACGTTGTACTGTAAATAGATTGTATGGGCATA